CATTTTTGGGTGAACTAACCCTTTAAAAGCTGGATTTCACCACAGGGGGACTTTAACCATTCTAGAATTTGCACACTTTTCAGTATTTCTGAATCTCTTTTTTCCATGAATATAAACTATGATGCAAATCTTTTATTAATTAAATGAGTTTTTATTTTTCATTTGATTGATGCTAATACCCAAAACTGCATTTCTCATCATAAAACAAGCATTTTAGTGTCATTTCGTATGAAATTGTACTAAGAAAAAAATTGAAAAAAAGTAAGACCGTCAAGCAGATCGTACGAAAAAGTTCATGAGATTGTATGAATTTCATCTGAATTAGCCACCAACTCAGCGAACCGCTCAACAATCACGAGATCTGGTTGTAAATGTGCTGCTTCTCTCTCTATCAAACAACTCTGAGACGTTCAAGCTGTAGCGTCTTGAATTGCAAGTCGTAACAAAGATATCCAGAAAAATGTTTAGGCAGAAAGAGGGGGGTCATGTGACGCTGGAAAGAGATACGCGTTCCCTAATAGTGGGGGTGAACGATAACCAACAGCTGCAACAATCCAAAGAAGAAGAAGAAGAAGACGTATCAGTGTGTCACACTGCCAGCTTGAGCCTCCACACACTCCTGTTGATCACCTGTGGAGCTGCCGGGACAGTCAGCACACTGAGGTTCAGCTCATCACGGACAGGTTGGTTAGGTGTAATTGCAGGGTGTGTGTGTGTCTCTGTTGGTGGCGGAGGAGTCTGTCTGTCCGCTCACTGAATGTGTGGCAAGCCCTGGCACGCTTTCTCATGAGGCTCACACAGAGAGTTTCAGGTGAAACACTGTCCTGTGAAGCCCAACACTATCTGAAATGAACATGTGTAAGCGCTTTGGATAGAAGTGTCTGCTAAATCATTAAACGTAGATGATCAAAGCATGTGCATGCATCTGTAAAGTGGGGTAACCCGCACACAAGTATTTCCACATATGAATAGGGCTGCAACAAACGATTATTTTGATAATCGATTATTCTGACGATTATTGGAACGATTAATCGACTAATCGCACATTATTTCGCCGGCTAATCGGTAAGTTTGGAACGATTATTCAGCTTTTTCAGTTAGTTAAAACGCTGAGTTATACATATTCTTACAAATCGCGATATTGCACGCCCTTACATTAGGTCAAGTGAGATCAAAGGACTACTCGACAACAAAGATATTTGTCGACAATTTTTTTTATTGTCGACAATGTCGACTAATCGTTTCAGCCCTACATATAAATGTATAGTTTGGTTGATAATCTGATGAAAGAACATGGACTATCATATAGAGCATTTATTTACATTCCCAGTCAAATGTTTGGAATATTTAAAATGCGTTCATGTTTTTAAAAAGAAGTCTCTTCTACTCAGCAAGGCTGCATTTATATTATTTACGGCTGTCAAACCATTCATCGCGATTAATCGCGATTGATTGATTTATTGTTACAAAAAATTTTAACAATATTTCACAATATTACTGTTCTTACTGTATATAATATTAGGGCTGTTTAATCAATGATTAATCACGATTAATCGCATCCAAAATAAAAGTTTGTGTTTACATAATATATGTGAGTGCACGGAGTATAATTATTTCATATATATATATATATACACACATGCTTGTACATATTTAAGAAATATTTTCATGTATATAGTATATACTATATAGATTTATATTATATATATATATATATATATATATATATATATATATATATTACATATAAATATATATTTTTTTAAATATACATGCAAGTGTGGGTATTTATATATATATATATATATATATATATATATATATATATATAGAATAATTATACACAGTGCACCCACATATATTATGCAAACACAAACTTTTATTTTTAGATGCGATTAATCGTGATTAATCGTTGATTAAACAGCCCCAATATTATTACATATACAGTAAAAACAGTAATATTGTGAAATATTGTTACAATTTTAATCAGCTTTTCTCTATCCACAAGTTTCCTACGCCCCATGAGGCCTTGCGTCAAAAGTGGGCGCGACTTCCGGTTGGAAGTAAACAAAGCGCGACTTGACATGCTTGACACTCGTTCATTCAACAGTTGACAGTCATTCAAGTTATAGCGATCCAAACTAGCTAACGATGTGGGAACACAACCTCAACGAAATTAAAAAGGGTGAAATAACAGTACCTTTACCCTCCGCAGTCATTGATTGGGAGTATTATAATAACATTATTAATTATCAATACTCATCAAGGCATGGCGACAGACGGTTGTGCGAGCTGACAAACAATTCAAATAAAAACATATACACTTAGTCATTGTGCTTTGGAGTTTATTCAAAATTATAAATGAATGTGCTACTTGAATACATTACTGGCACATTTGGTATTCTGTCAACACAGGCTTTGATCCTGAGTTTAGGTGTAACATTAGTAGCGAACAGCCAATCACATGCTGATAGAGTTTATAAAATATAAAGAATTTAAAAAAAATGTACACAGGAAGATTCGTCGTCTTTTGGGAGGTGATGGAAACTAGCGTTACAGTCGTTGGCAGGATCAGAGACGGGCTCTGGCAGGATCACTCGTTTTCAGCTTATGTTTAAAACAATCATGTTTAAGCCACTGAACTAGTTTAGTCCGGTTATACATACAACCGCGAACAGCACATGTTGTCCCTGAGCTCCGTAACGACATCTCTCATAAAGATTTGCGTCTTTAAATAGTAAAATAATTCTCCGAAAAACAGCTAGCCTCTTCGCTAACTAACACACAAAATACCATTGGAATGCTACTTCCGCCGCCTCACCGGAAGTTTCACCCACTTTATTTTTTACAGGAGCGCCCCTCGGAAACTTGTGGATAGTAAAGTATGATTTATTCCTGTGATCCAAGCACTGATTATTCTCATATTTTTGTGGAAACCGTGATACATTTTTTCAGGATTCGTTGATGAATAGAAAGTTGAAAAGAATATTAATTTGAAATAGAATTTGTTTGAAACATTAGTGTCACTCTTGATCAACTTAATGCATTCTTGATGCAATTCTTTTTTTACTTTTTTCTAATCTTTAAACTGTCACGGTTTCCACAAAAATATGAAGCAGCAGCACAACTGTTTTCAACACTAATATGTTTCTTGAGCAAGAATGAATCATATTAGAGTGATTTGTAAAGGATCATGTGACACTGAAGACTGAAGTAATCAGTGCTTTGATCACAGGAATAAATGACACTTTACAATATATTCACATAGAAAACAGTTATATTAAATAGTAATAATATTTCACAATATCACTCTATTTGTAATCAAATAAATGCAGCCTTGCTGAGCAGAAGTTTCTTTCAAAAACGTTTAAAAAAAAAACATAATTATCCCAAACTTTTGACCGGTTTTGTAAATAAGCCCCAAAATGGCTTACACACAGCAATGAAAAACGCTAAATGCGAATAATACAGTATTAACCATATAGGCTAATCAGGAATATCAAAATAAACAAGCTAATCAACTTTTAAATCATTTGTGTCCAATCAGTCACTTGGTAACACGGCTAAAACTCAGCCCAGTGTTTGTTTATGTAAATCTGCTGTTATTTATGCATAAATTGCCAATATTCCTCTTCAGCATGTTATATTATTTTGGGGGCAGTTAATGCACGTCTTGTTTTTATTTTGCCACACTGTTTCCAGTGTAAAATCCGGATCCTAAGGCCAAAGCAATGGAGAAGCACTGATTTAACAGCCATGTTTATCCACAAACGTGACCAATACAACACAGAAACAGACGAACACTAACTAGTTGCAGGACAGAGGAGGCTAACTAATTGTTTTAGTATGTAGGTGGGAATTGATGTTGCTCTCTAGTGTCAGCAAATTAGATTTGGACGCATTAAAGCGGTGTGTTTGTCTCCTGAACACAGGGTGTGATCCTGGGGGGCGAGACTGAGTTAATCTCAGCTATAGCGAACCCACAGTCGACGTCCCACCGGGTGACTGAATCAGATAAGACCAGTGTCCCCAGGGCCACAGAAGAATAGCTGTCTCATTCCTGAAGAGACGCAAGTCAAAACACACATTTACATTGAGACACACTGAGATATGCTAAACACATCCTTATCAAGGTGAGAAAGAGCCTTGATCATAGGCTTGCAGCGTGAAGCATGCGTTACACACGACAGTTTGAGCAGGACCGGGTGTTTTTGTCTTTCTGATCCACGCCCAGATACCGTTTTGTGTGTCTCAGACCCACGCCTTCTGCATTAGTCTGTTCACAGGTCAAAATGAAAGCTTAATCGTGACTGCAGTGATTTCACCAGTGTGAACGCCGTGCACTGATTCGGATCAGAAACCGGTTTAGAGATCACAACTTACTGCCCCTTTAAAAAACACAGTGATGATGTTTCAAGATGAATCATCAACAACAAATACAGTACATAAAGTGAAATTAAGCAATTTTATAAATAAGCCAAGTAAATGAAGTATATTATACACACTTCATTTACTTGGTTTATTTCTAAAAAAGCAATTTTATGCCTGAACGCCTGAATTTTAAACAGTTAAACCCAACAGTTATGTTTATTCATATCCATAACATATGTAAATAAAGCAATTTTATAAATAAACCAAGAAAATGAAGTGTATATTACCGTACACTAAAAATGACGGGTTGTTTCAACGGTCAAATATGGACGCCTGAATTTTAACATGTTTTAAACCAAACAGTTCAATTTATCCATATTAGACCATTGAAAGAACTTTTTTTTATTTATACCTAAATTTGGCACTTTTATACAATTTCTTCATTTCACTTTATTTTTGAGTTTAGTCTAAGAGACGTCATTACTGTTTGTTGTTGTTGTTGTTGTTTTTCCATGAAGTATGAGTTGAAACAACTATTTTTTAGAGTGTAACTGATTTATGTGTCAGTTAATGTAAACTGTGTGTGCTGGAATCTCGTGAGAGCCGTGAATAATTAATATGGCACTCACTTGAGAAAGTACTTCTGTCCATTGGGGGTGTAGGCCATCTCCCAGCCCGGGGGTAGCGGCAGCTCCTCGGCCACGTCGAAGGACTGGTGTCGGATGTGCGAGTGGTGCCGAGCGGGGTTCGGGACGCCCAGCGCGCCCGCGGGCAGCTGCAGCGACGCCGGGGAGGAGTGCGAGCGGACGTGCGTCGCCTGGAGCCGCGGGGGGAGGCCGCCCGAGTCCGTGCTGGACTGCCGAGAGTGCGAGCCCGAGTCCGGCTCCTTGAAGAACGACTCGGGCAGATGCTTGTTCCTCCAGGAGCTGCTGGGCTTGGGGTTCATGACGGAGTTGAAGAGAGCCTCCAGGTCCGTGTCAAGGTCTTTGGCGACATGGATGACCTGCTGGCCCGGTAACGGCTGGAGAGGGTTGCCGCTCATCGTGTGTCAGACAATAACAAACAAGCCCAAGTATTCGCGGAAAAAAATGGCCTGCGAAAATCCTGTAGGAACTTCTTTGGTTGGGCCTGTTCCTTCTTTCTTTTCTTTTCTTTTCTTTCTTTGGTAAAAGTTGTTTCTGACGACTTTAAAAGCTTTTAAAAGTCTTTAAAAAGTTGTCATAAAGCTAAAGGAGTGTGTGTCATGTTGTCCCGCATTGAGTGTTTTTTTTTTTTTTCCCGGAGATTATTCCTTCTGCGCTCCGTAACTTTCCTGCGTCCGCTGGCAAAGTTTCTGTCCCGATGGAAAGTTTGTAAACTCAACTCTCTCTCTCTCTCTCTCTCTCTCTCTCTCTCTCTCTCTCTCTCTCTCTCTCTCTCTCTCTCTCTCTCTGCGCGAATCCTGTGTCAGCTCATGAATATTCAACAACTATGGGCCTCATGAATATTTAATTATCACTGTTTCGCGTTCGTAACAGCAACAATGGACTATCAGTGGATTATGGAATTAACAACTTTTAAAGTGTATTGTTGCTGTAATGATATTTGAAACCAGCCTTTTTATTTATTAATTTATTTTTACTACAACAACAAAAAAAAGGAAAGGATCTAACATAATTAGGCCTATCTATTTTATTGTAATGCATTAAATGAGTTTATAATTTCAGTTTACTGTTTTACTACTATGTTATATTAAAAATATAAATATATGTATTAATATTATTATGTTACATATTAATGATACATTTTAATTAAACTTTAAACACGACTGTAAATAATACATGTAATTTGAAAAGTTCAAAGCTATTTAAAATTAAACAAAACACTTAACATTTTTATCCATAATTCCCAAATTTATCATAGGATGTATTAAATATTGTAATTTATTGATGTATGTTATTTAATCTATCCTTAAATCATTTGTGTTATTGTATTAAATTGCAAGTGTTTTTTTTTAATGAGTGAATAAAATAAATATTATGCCTTGGTAAAAAAAAAATATGCCATGGCAACTAATAATAAAGTTAAAGTGCTGAAGTTACAAAAACTGAAATAAAAATAAATCTAATAAAAAATGACTAAAGAACATAAATTAAAACATAATAAAATGAGAAAAAATCAACAATTATAATGTTTAGAAATAATTTGTTCAATAAACTTTAATATTTTTCTACAAATTATTTAGAAATAATTTGTTGTTGTACTTTTACTGTTTATTAGTAATAAAAATAAATTAATTGCATTTTCACATGTAATGTTTTAAATAATTTAATAACTAATGTGATATTATTTCACAGCAAAGGATGAAGACTAAAGAAGATTCATATTTCACAGTATTTTGAGCATGGAGTCGCATGAGTGCAGTGGAGGGATGTGGTCATTCGCAGATTGCAGGCTAAAACATAAATGGGGTCAAATGGGTTGTGAAGCCATTCATCAGGTCAACTTGACACACACACACATACCTCGTCCTCATGAGACCCAGTATAATGGGTTAATGTGGGCCAGTCAGGCTCACTGAGCGAGAGCAACAGTTGTGTTGAGCTAGTGTGAGGTCTGATCTCTGCTCCCATGGGAAGCACACCTGTCCCGAGCAGAGCGGAGCAAACATCTCTAAATGTCAAGGAGCTGTGTATGAGAATCTTCATATTAATCCCTTTTTTATTGCATATGTGTGACCTGTTCATAACGAAACTTTAAAAATGAGAGCTTCCCTGACACAGTGAGTCTCTGAAAGCCTGTAGTCTGATTCTCTGGGTGTGTGAAGGACTCGGATATATCACAAAACTCTGACTTTATATCTCACAATTATTCTGACTTTATATCTCAAAATTTTTCTGACTTTTATATCTCACAATTATTCTGACTTTATATCTCACAATTATTCTGACTTTATATCTCACAATTATTCTGACTTTATATCTCAAAATTATTCTGACTTTTATATCTCACAATTATTCTGACTTTATATCTCACAATTATTCTGACTTTATATCTCACAATTATTCTGACTTTATATCTCACAATTATTCTGACTTTATATCTCAAAATTATTCTGACTTTTATATCTCACAATTATTCTGACTTTATATCTCACAATTATTCTGACTTTATATCTCACAATTATTCTGACTTTATATCTCACAATTCTGACTTTATATCTCATAATTATTCTGACTTTATATCTCATAATTATTCTGACTTTATATCTCGCAATTCTGACTTTATATCTCGCAATCCTGACTATATCTAGCAATTCTGACTTTATATCTCACAATTCTGACTATATCTCGCAATTCTGTCTTTGTATCTCAAAATTATTCTGACTTTCTATCTCAAAATTATTCTGACTTTATATCTCGCAATTATTCTGACTTTATATCTCACAATTATTCTGACTTTATATCTCGCAATTATTCTGACTTTGTATCTCGCAATTATTCTGTCTATATCTCACAATTATTCTGACTATATCTCAAAAAATTATTCTGACTTTATATCTCACAATTATTCTGACTTTATATCTCGCAATTATTCTGACTTTGTATCTCGCAATTATTCGGACTTTATATCTCGCAATTATTCTGACTTTGTATCTCGCAATTATTCGGACTTTATATCTCACAATTATTCTGACTTTGTCTCGCAATTCTGACTTTGTATCTCGCAATTCTGACTTTGTATCTCGCAATTCTGACTTTATATCTTGCAATTCTGACTTTATATCTCACAATTATTCTGACTTTATATCTCGCAATTCTGACTTTATCTCGCAATCCTGACTTTATATCTCGCAATTATTCATCTCGCAATTCTGTCTTTGTATCTCGAAATTATTCTGACTTTATATCTTACAATTATTCTGACTTTATATCTCACAATTATTCTGACTTTATATCTCATAATTATTCTGACTTTATATCTCGCAATTCTGTCTTTGTATCTCGAATTTATTCTGACTTTATATATTACAATTATTCTGACTTTATATCTCACAATTATTCTGACTATATCTCGCAATTCTGTCTTTGTATCTCGAAATTATTCTGACTTTATATCTCACAATTATTCTGACTTTATATCTCACAATTATTCTGACTTTATATCTCACAATTATTCTGACTTTATATCTCGCAATTATTCTGACTTTATATCTCACAACTATTCTGACTTTATCTCACAATTCTGACTTTATAACACGCAATTCTGACTTTACTTTGGCTGTGTGTTTCAGGTCATGGTCATGCTGGAAGACCCAGCCTCGACCCATCTTCAATGCTCTTACTGAGGGAAGGAGGTTGTTGGCCAAGATCTCGCGATACATGGTCCCATCCATCACCCCCTCAATACGGTGCAGTCGTCCTGTCTCCTTTGCAGAAAAGCATCCCCAAAGAATGATGTTTCCACCTCCATGCTCCACAGTTGGGACGGTGTTCTTGGTGTTCTTCTACTCATTCTTCTTCTTCCTCCAAACACGGCAAGTAGAGTTTAGACCAAAAAGACCAAATTTTTCTCCCATCAGACCACATGACCTGCTCCCATTCCTTCTCTGGATCATCCAGATGGTCATTGGGACACTTCAGATGCAGGATTTGAATCTGTGACGCGTAGTGTGTTACTAATGGTTTCTGTGAGATTGCAGTCCCAGCTCTCTTCAGGTCATTGACCAGGTCCTGCAATGTAGTTCTGGGCTGACCCCTCACCTTCTTCATGATCACTGATGCCCCACGAGGAGAGATCTTGCATGGAGCCCCAGACCGAGCGTCATCTTGAACTTCTTCCATTTTGTAATGATTGCGTCAACTGTTGATGCCTTCTCAGCTGCTTGCCTTGTGCAGGTCTACAATTCAATCTGATGTCCTCACTCAGCTCTCTGGTCTTGGCCATTGTGGAGAGGTTGGAGTCTGTTTGACTGAGTGTGTGGACAGGTATCTTTTATACAAGTTCAAACAGGTGCAGTTAAAGTGGACAACAGGAAGTCTTCTTAAAGAGAAACTAACAGGTCTGTGCGAGCCGGAATTCTTACTGGCCGCCGATTGGTGATCAAATAATTATGTCACACACTAAAATACAAATGAATTACTTGAAAGTCATACAGTGTGATTTTCTGGATTTTTGTTTTAGATTCCGTTAGTCACAGTTGAAGAGTACCTATGATAAACATGACAGACTTCTGCATGCTTTGTAAGTGGGAAAACAAATACTTCAAAATACTGCAAACGTATCAAATACTTGTTCTCCCCACTGTAGAGCCGCTTTAAACGTTCATGCATTTGCATTATACAGTTTTAACATAAACTGATAAACTTAATGTAATGAATATTTGTCAGTCTGAAAGAATTAAGATTTCTCTATACACTCAATGTGTTTTAGATACACAATAACCAGTTTACAATTTATCTACTTACAAAGTACATCATTATATTGGATATTTGAATAAATTATGCATTTATATTAAAAAAAATATTTATTTAAACATGTTGTACAAGAGGATAAAATGTTAAGTGTTAAGTCACTCTAGTTTTGTTCACTGTTAATGTTGTTATTTTAAATGTTTAAATAAAAAGTGCAAATTGCTGCTGATTTTATTTGTTTGCTTGGTGAAATGAGGTCAGTGTGTGTATCTGTACTTTTTGAACATTTCCAGCACATTTGGACAATTCCATGATTGATCACCTATAATCGTGATATGAAATGTTCATACCGATTCATCTGATGAATTATGACAAGCTTATGGCGTTTATATGGCATTTGTAAAATTGTAGACTGGGTGTACTGCTATATTTATGCTGTTCTTAAATATAATAATATATAAAAATATAAAATATATTTTATAAAATATTATAAATATATATATTATATATTTTATATAAATATAAAAATGTGCAATTTTTAAAATAATACATTTTTATATTTAATAAAAACTTAAATCTATAGATTTGTTCAAACATTTTATTCATTTTAAAAGTTAAACTTCACATAAATTCAACATTTAATAATAATGTGCATTCTCTTATTGTGCATTAATAATTATTCATGCACGTTCATGCCAATTTTGTCTCTGTCTTTCTACATTTTTAATACATTTTGAAACGTAATCACTCGGTCCACCTCTTATCTTTTAGACCCCTTCATTTTCCACACCATAGAAATATTAAAAAACAAAAAACAAATTACATAATAACAAAAATTGGAATAGCTCATAGCAATTCAGAGCAGGCACACGGCACTGAGACCCTACAGCCTCACTGCATTCTGGGATGTGCACTTGCATGCGCTGCTCTCGTGTCTGTGTAATACTGTTAAAGTTACACCACAACCTCTTGGTGAAGCCAACTAGAGCACGAGGGAGTGGATGACTTCGCTAACTTTAGATTAAACGTTAGCAATTAGCAAATTAATCATTGTCCTGACACAAGGAAACAGTTTCCCTGAAATTCAACCACGGCTGACTGACTCATGATCATCAGAACTGAGTGACGGAAGAAAGAAAGTTAGAGTCACCCTGAAATCAACATTTAAAAGCCTTATTTTTTATGTAATATTGCAGTGTTTATTATAAATGATTTATCATTATTGTTTTAAATTCATGTTCTGGTAATCTTGAATCAGAGTAACTTCCTCTTCCCTTCTCTGATGACGAGGGCGGGGCTATAACCTGTCAATCACATGAGATCAAACCACAGCCATCCAATCAACTCAACACAGTCAAGCCCCGCCCACATCTGTTCTTATTCATAATCCATGAAGTGTCATGTAGACTTAATAGGATGAATAGGATCATACATGCTAAATTTGATGGATTATGTTTTTATTACAGGAACTGATGGAAAACAGCTAAAAACACATGAATACAGTTCAAATGTTAACAGTGCAGTGAGTATTGAGGAAAAAGGCAGTTTAATGGTCATCTAGTTCTTCTCACCAGGTCCAATGGGACTACGAGGACATCTGACATTCACATATAAAGTGTGGCACTCTCAGCTGCATTTCACACATTTCTTTTTACATTTTGTGATGATAAAAGTGCAGGAAATGCTCAAACACTGGTCATTACTCTACATGTGGACCCTTAAGAAAGAGTGCAATAACTCATCAATATGACATTCGGTAAATTTGGTCCTAAATGTGCATATATTCCTGGGAACGTAAACCCCCAGAAACACACACGACACACGCTTCAGTTCCATGTGCACACCCTTATTATAAAGCAAAGGCATCTGTTAATACTTATGGCACAAATGAATCCATTATATCTGCATCGATTTTTCGAACTAGATCATCACTGGTTTAAAGGGTTAGTTCACCCAAATATGAAAATCCTGTCATTATTAAACGCTTTAAATCTTCAGAACACAAATGCAGATATTTTTAATGAAATCTGAGAGATTTCTGTCCCTCTGTTGACAACTACCACAAAGATCATAAAGAGATCGTAGAACTAGTCCATAATTTCTGAAGGGACTCGATCACTTTATTTAGCAAACAGATTGAATTTAGTCTTTTATTCACATATAAACATTGATCAGCAAACGTACATAGAGCACATCAGATATGGTGAACAGAAGCTCAAGCGTGAGGACCGATGAGGCTCATTCTCATGGTCGAGCGTTTATCAGTGAATAAAAGCCTAAAGTCAATCTGTTCTCTTCAGATCTGGATTATACGGATTCAATCCAGTTGGGTTTCTTTTACGATCTCATGAACTGAACCTTTTGTAGTTTCAGGTGTATAGACTGTCAATGGAGGCTCAGATTTCATTAAAACATCTTCATTTGTGTTCTGAAGATGAACAGAGGTGTTACGGATGACAGGATTTTTCATTTTCGGGTGAACTATCCCTTTAAGGTGAAATGAAAACTGCAGATGTAACCAGGAGTCGCTGCCCTTCCTCTCTCCGGGTTGCTCGAGCATGTGTGTGTGTGTGTTCTACTTGATGTTGCGCAGCACTCGTCTGCAGTGGCTGGTTTTGAGCTCGGACAGCGCTCGCTCCAGCTCCCGGATGAGGTTCTGCAGGGTGGACGGGTCCGTCTGAAGCACACGGGCCCTGAGACCCGGCCCGTCCTCCAGGACCAGCTTCAGGGTCACGCTGGGCTTCAGCTGGTGGCGAAGAGCCCGACTGGACAGCTGAACAAGCACAACACACACACACACACCGTTAGTATACAGCTGGAGATCATGAGCAACTTTAAAGGGTTAGTTCACCCAAAAATGAAAATTCTGTCAGTATTTACTCACCCTCATGTTGTTCCAACCCCGTAAGACCTTCGTTCATCTTCGGAACACAAATTAAGATATTTAAGATATTAAGATCGCTCCTGCATACTAGTCCATATGCTTCTTGAGGGAATGACTCGCTGTCCTCGAAAAGTCATTAAATACATTGTTAAAATAGTCCAAGTGACTACAGGGGCTCAATCTTAACTTTATCAAACGACGAGAACACTTTTGTGCGCAAAAACAACAACAAAAATAACGACTTTATTTCAACTATTCGTTTATTTCTCCCTCTGCGCGAGTCAGGTTACTAGTTTAATAGCGTAAGCTTCTGTTATTGTACGTCACACGCATCACACACATGACCAGCGTCGGCCAATAGTGAGCCTACGTGTGACGTAGCTCTACGCTATAACACTACGTTAACTGACTTACAGGCTCATGGAGAAGGAAGTGAATAGTTGAAATAAAGTCGTTATTTTTGTTGTTTTTTTTTGCGCACAAAAGTGTTCTCGTCGTTTGATAAACTTAAGATTGAGCCCCTGTAGTCACTTGGACTATTTTAACGATGTCTTTAATGACTTTTCGATGCCAGCAAGTCATTCCCTCAAGAAGCCTATGGACTTGTATGCAGGAGCGATCTTAATATCTTAAATATCTTAATTTGTGTTCCGAAGATGAACGAAGGTCTTACGGGGTTGGAACAACATGAGGGTGAGTAAATACTGACAGAATTTTCATTTTTGGGTCAACTAACCCTTTAAAGCCTGGCAAACTTTAACATGTAGGTGTTTAAAGGGGTGATGAACTGAGAAATCAAATTTTCCTTGAGCTTTTGACATCTAAGAGGTCATCTTATTATAAGAATATCCTGTAAGTCCTTGTTAGTCCAATAAAAGCTTTTATTGACACCAGCCTCAGCAAACGACTCGTTTTTAAAAGTGGGGAACTATGATGTCAACGAGGATACAATATCGCCCACTGATTTGCGCATTACACGCATAGATTCCTACCTCGTGATGACAAACCGGATCGATCTAACGAGCGATACAGAATATTGTGCAGCGCCTGGTTGTGGAAGACAGTCGCTGCATAAGCTTCCTCTGGATTCCAATAGGACTGCATGGATAAACTTTATTTTTAATGACGTTCCAGCTGATGAGGGTAAAACATCGTTGTCTGTTCGCTTCATTTCACTGAGGATTGTTTTGTAAACAAGACTGGATTTGCAGAGCGATTAAGAGTAAAGAACGGTGCTGTGCCGTCTATATTGGATCTGACAGGAATGGTGCAACACACTGACTCTGGGTCGAACATGTATGGTTGAATCATTCCGGTCGCCATTTTACAACATTGGACTTTTTCAAAACAATTTCCCCCAAGTGGACCAACGGGTGAGTCGAAACTCATTATAATATGCAAAACTGTTATCCACTCACAGCAGTGGGCGTTTACTTCCAAGTCTTCAGTGCGAGACGCCCATTAAAACCGAGTGTTTTTCAGATAGGCTCAAAACTAGGGTAGAAAATAGCCTATTACTTATTCATTTTGATGTTTTTGAATGCAAAAACCATGCGAACGTCATAAGTCGACCTCAGGAAACAATATAATAACATTTAAAAAGCCACTTCATGACCCCTTTAATGAAGACACGCAGTGAAAAATGAGCGCTGGATGGCTTTGGACAGGGATGTTTTGATCTTATTGCTCATGCATTTGTAGGAGATTCCCTTTCAGATGCATTTATAGGCGGAGAGTATTTAAATGAATCATGCAACGTGATTTACTACAGTTTGCGCATACCAATTTACTGGTATTGTGTGTCATTATTTATGCCAATAAAAGTATGTCTTAAACCCGCTGGTGATCTGCGCTGCTCTGGGGAGATTGTGTTCGGCATTAAGGAAGTGATCCGGCTGCGATCTTTAACGTGTGTGCAGAGCTGGTTTTTGGGACTGCAATCTCGGCCCTGATTAGTAAATCTGGTCCAAGCTTTTCTGCGACATTTGGTTGTAATTCTGCTTGTAAAATCTGTAAAGTTGTCAGCTAGGTAAAATAACCAAGAAGTTTTTAGTTTTGTCAAAAGTACAATTATTTAGATTGATTTTGCATATATAATCATAACTATTATTTTCAGCTGTTGCTGCATAACCCTCTATGCGTGTGTCTGTTTAAGAGCCTATAGAAACTGAAACCAAATGGCTTGATCAACCATTCTTTTCGCATACAAAACCAGACATGTAACATGTTCAGATCAAGCCTCCAACATGCTCATGTTGCGTTGTTTTCACCCTCCAATGAGTCTGTACAAATTACGTAATATGCGTCTACAAAAAAAAAAACAAATGCATTGCACGTCTTTGCACACGTTCTGTAGATCTGCGATTGATAGTTACGTCTTCCGATGGCTCATTGACGTATCACGTTCTGTGCACTATGACCCCAACCTAAATGAAAGTACACGGACTTATTTCTAAACGAAAGTACACGGACGTGGAGGTTTTGGAAATACTAATTGCGTCCGATGACGCTGAACTCTCCGTCTGCTCATCGGCTTTATTTATTTATTTAATATTTATTTTAATATTAATTGTTCTGAGAGGGTCTATTTATTTTTATATTCTAACCAATTCAATTTTCAATCAATATTCAAAAGCAAAATGTTCTCTGTTTGACCACGAATGTAATTGAATATTTTACATGGCATTTTTACGCCTTTTTTTGAATGAGTGCATCTTAAAAACTAATTTATGTAAAAAGTTCAAATCAATTCTGTATAGTTTTAAACTGTTTTATGCACGTTTTTCACATTGACAAGTTTGAGGTTGACATTTATCCATTTTTTATATTGAATAAAATATGTAGAATTTAAAAAAAAATGTCTTTCTTTTTGTTTATTGCACGTTTGAGATATTTATCTGGTTACTATTGATTTATTACAAACATAGCCTTCAAATATGGCGTATGAAAATGCTCAAAAGAATGACAGCACAGCATGTAAAAATAGAAAGATATACTTGGGTAGAACTGTTCTATGGCAGGTCATAAAGGGTTAAAAATTTGTGAATGTATAATGATGTTTTTTTAAATAACTTTTAAGTTAATAAATAATGAATGTAAAAATCATAATTAGAAATGTATATAATGAGTATCAAATATAAATGTTAAATGTGTCCGTTTTGTGTTCGCATTTTGTCATTATGACAAAAAAGTAATATTTATTAATTATTTGCTTTTATTTTTTATATCTTCAGATTACATTTTAAATTCAGTTAAAATTTTGTCTATTTTATTAGTTTAATTATTTCTATTTTGCAAGATTTTTTATTTCAGTTTTAGTCATTTATTCAGGATAATGTCTTTATTTCAAGTAGTAATATTTATATTTCAATAAACTAAAATTTTTTAGTGTTTCAATAAACCAGACTGATTTCTACCAGTGTTAGTTTCAGCTGAGGTTTGTTCCGAGACTCTGTGTGTCGCACCTGAACGTCGAGCCTCCACTCCAGGTTGTGGTAATGTGGGAGGCTGGGGGCGAGTTTGCCCAGGATCTGCCGAATCTCCTTCCTGTTCTCCAAGTACAGCTGGAGGAGAAGCTGATTGAGCTCCTCCGAGAACCCCAACACCAGCACTGAGTCCTGGAAATCCCCCTCCGAAACCTGCAGATCACACATGGACATGCGCTATGAGGCGAGGGCTCACCGTCCCGCAGTGTGTGAGGAGGATCAGTGCAGACGCACCATGAGTTTGGCGCTCTCCGTGAGGAGGTACATCAGCCCCTCCACCCCGTGCTGGACGCTCTCCGCTGGCACATTCAGCTTCCCTGTCACATCACACATCACCAACACACTCATCAGATCATCAACAACAGGACAGTCACAACACACAACTTCACTCACGTGCCGCTCCCTCGAAGATCTTAGGGTTTGAGCCCTTTTTCAGAAACTCCACAGCAATTCGGCCAAACTCTCCAACAACTGGCGAACAGAAAACCACACTGGAGATCATACATGATGCTTTTGCTTTATTATTATTATTATTATATTGATTATGATTAAGTTTGTGTGTCAACTTTATGTACGACATTAAGATAGAAAGGTGTAATAGGTACCGTCAGTCACTATTCTCTAACACACAAAGAATATGTCTGTTATATATACATTAAACCCTGCTTATTTCCAACATGGAATAAAAAAAGAAAAAAATAAAATCAACTTTAGGCTCTCACAATTCATACTTAAATCTATTAGACAAAAAAGAATTTGCCAGATAAAACTCGCATTTCTGAGAATAAAAGTCTGAATTGTGAGATATAAGCAATTATAATAATTGTAATAAATCATAATTAGACAATTGCCTTTTCGTGTTATTTCGTTGCAGAAACAAGCTTCCATAGTTTATTATTTTTTTAAACAGAGTTTGTTATTTTTTTATTTAGAAATGCATTTTAGCATTTTGAAAGATGTGAAACTAATAAATGTTGTGCTAAAATTTAATATTTCTCATTCCTTCTGTATAAACGCAAACTATCACATAACACTGACTTTACATACGTGGAAATACGAAAACAAAAATAGATGCTAGTTGTGTTCTCAAACTTTGTAAATCATAAAAGTAACTGTCATCTTATATGACGGATATATTTACAGATAAACAACATGACAGATTTGCTTTCCTGCAGTTTTTGAATCACTTACCCGCAGAATCGACTTCTGATAAGAAACCTAAATGCTCCTTGTGTTCCTCAGATAAAACTAACAGCATTTTCTGACGCTTTTAATATATCATCACACAAAATAAAGTTAATATTTGTAAATTAAATGATGTTTAGAGCAGCTTCTCCTGACGGTCACATGATCAGCGGTGCGCACCTCATTACAGTCCGAGTGAAACATGCGAGCGGAGCAACGGTTTAGTTCCACTCACTTTAACCAGTCAACGAGTGGTTGACTGGTTAATGCACATCTAAAATAAGTAATGTATATTAATAATATGTGCGAAAATACATCAAAATTACATAATAACAACATATTTAAATTGCATTTCTATTCGTATTGTTTATTTGATTCATTTTTGTACATGACAATTCATGATGGATGTCACATGACCGTTTTTGTGTTCAAAAAAAGATATTGACACGTCTTTAAAAAAAGAACTGACAAATGATGAATAAATGAGAGAAAATACTATTAAAATATGGATATAATATGAGTGTATAATGAGGCAATGGCCCTGTCAGATCGTGTATAGCACGATTCCTCACAGTCCCTACAACTCCTTTAGTCCTGACAATTAGGCTATATATATATATATATATATATATATATATAAAATTGTATTTAATTAAAGCTAAATAAAAGAATGAATGGTGTAAAATCATTTTTAGTAAAATCAGGCCAAAATGAAATTTGTTTGGAGTTTGAAACATCTTGCCAAAGTGAACTTTCTGGGAAAGTTTGTTACTTTCAAACCACCATTGGTTAGTGGTGATGATGTAATAGGTGGGTGTGGCTCTGAGGCTCCACCTTCTTTGAGTAGTAAATCTACTGCGGTTCATCAGTTCAGTCAGTCGAGGTCAAATGCGTGTAAAAACACGAATGCACTGGACAGCCGATTTATAGAAGAAATTGAAGTGTAATTCTAATTGAAAGAGACGCTGACGCTGTTTTTGCGTGTTTAATATTGCAAAGCTGCATGCTTTGTAATCTCTTTGATCAGATGCTTTCTGAATTGCTGTTTTCTCATCGCTGTTAGTTTTGTTGTGTTTATGCTGTTATTAAGAGAGCAGCACATATTCATCTAAACGCCGATCTCTGCATCGTGGACGGCGTCGGGAAACAGGATGTGCGGTAAAAAACAGTAAAAAACTAGTCACGCATTTCAAACTTATTTTTACCCCTAAGAGAAGAACAAAAATAACTTAAGGCGCTTTTCCACTGCATAGTACGGTACGGTTCGGCCCAGTACGCTTCGACTCGGCGCGGAACAGTTCGGATCGCTTTGCGTTTCCACTGCAGTAGTACCCCTTTAAAGTGTGTGGGATTGATCGTTATTTGCGCGCGCCTCTACTGCCATGACATCATCTTAAAAGCGCCACATTTTCAAACCCACAACTCAGGAACAAAGGAGACTATCGAGGGGATGGTGTTCCTGATTCTCGGTATGTGGTTGTTTTTAACTGCTAGACGGAAAAATGTGTTTAAAATGAGGCTGATGGCAGCAAAACAAAAATACTGCTAGAAAAGTGTCTCGTGTCTCGTGTCGCAAATCCAATGACGCTAGTAGTGACGCTGGTAGTGACGATTCTGTCTGACCAATCAGTGATCTGCAGTGTTTCACGTCACATTTTAGTACCGGTACGGTACGCTTGGAACCTCAACAGACCAGGTACCATTTAAAGCGACCTGAAGCGAACCGTACTGTACCGTACCATGCAGTGGAAAAGCACCACAAGTGAGCCGTACCGAACCGAACCGTACCGTACTATGCAGTGGAAAAGCGCCATTAGCTGACAGTATATCGTATGATTATGGTTAGCGTTTAGGTTAGGGATTTGTATTGTTTGAGCTTTGTGTAGGCGTGGCCATCATGACTAGCCAAACACAGAGCCAGAGTTTTCACACTTTTCAGGAAGTCAACTTCCGAACGGCTCATCCATAGTCTGGGAAACATGGAAGTATTTAAACATTGTTATTGTTAATATCTATAACCAACTTAGGCGATGGAGAGTAGTCTCTCATTTTCTCTGAGAGTTCGGCCACAAAGCAGTTTAAAGGTTTCCTGAGGGATGTCGACTATCTTGTCTGATGTTATGGGATCTATTGCTGAGGAAACGCCTGCGCCTGATGTCTGGAAAAGAGTGAGGTAACTCCAGTCTTCCCCGCTCCCGCCACTATTTCCAGCTGGCAGGATTTCCTCTGGGTTCTTCCTCCCACATGCCCCGTTTCTCCCGTCGTCTCCTCTTCATGGTCTGGGAGGAAGCAGCTGTGGCAGAGCTGCTGATGCACTCTGGGAAGGCGGAGGAAGGACCCACAAAGGCTGATGTCACTGGGAAGCCACGGAAGAGACTTTGACCTCTATACATCCCCTCAATGCTCTGCCTCTGGGATTTGAGGACATCTTATGCATGGGAAAGCCATCAATATGCACCGGACCACCAAACTTTATTCCCAATGGATGGTGTCGTCTTGCTTGAGCCTTGTGTATTCAGGTCTTGTGCACTGGTAGAGAGAACTCAGGAAAGCTGACAATAGTGTACAGTGGTGCGACATCGGCTGCGTGTAGGAGACCCACCTCAATGGTCTGGATGGTCGATCCCGCAGCTCCATGTGCAGTACGGATAGACGGAGGAAGGGTCTTCTGATTCTGATCTTCCTCTCCTGATGTTGGACCGGGCAGTTCTAGCAATGTGGTCTGTGTAGTTTAATTGATCATCAATCACAACTCTCAACTGGCTGTCCTGGACAAGTTGGGTTGGGTTGTGTTGGCCAGGAACACAAGCAGTTCTGTCCGTCATCCAGCAGAGATACGAGGAGCTCCCGTCGGATCATCCGGCTGGAGTTGTGTCATTAGCATAGCAGTTGTAGGAAAGAGAGACGACATGCTGACCTGTTTGTTTGTGTCCTCTCTCAGAAACTCATCCCAGCCTTCCCAAGTTTCGAGGAGACAGTTGCCACCGGTGACAGAGAATCTTTATTAGTGCCATTTGCTGAGAAAATTTGCTCAACTATGTGCAGTGCATTATCCAGGTACCCATTCAATCAGTTCCCCAGTTTTCCCGGCTACTTCTACGCTGTAGCCGCGGGTTGTTTTTAGTCTGTAGGTTGAAGAGAAACACCCCCACCCCATAACTCAATTTCCACCCACCGTAACGCGATGTTTACTGGTGAACCCCCAGTGAATGGGCTATTTGGCCATGACTGGGTGGGTATTGAATAGAAAATGGGCTGGTTTTGTTGAGGAAACCTGGCAACCCCGACGGTCGTACGTGTTGGTGTAGTGCCCAATCCCTCTTACACACTCTCCATCAGACAGGAGTGCCTTTTGAGGCAATCAAGTAATCGGGTCATATTAAAAAAGTTGCCCTAAGTATTGAACATTGGTCATCTCCTAAAGGTGATGATACACAGGGCAAATTTTTGAGAAATATTTGCTTGGGCACTTTCCCATTGAAAATGGTCAATACATTCCAATCTGGATAATTTAGACGGGTCGTGGGCCCTGCGTCTCATCTGGTGGCCTGTTGACGACAACATTGCTCAAAAAGTTGCCCTGTGAATCATCACCTTTAGTGTGTCCTCATCTAGTATATCTAGAGAGCTTCCAGGAGTTTCCACAGAGAATGAGAAAGTGTTTGATAGGGAAGAAATCCACTGTAAAGAGATTAGAGTTCAGGGGAGGAGGAGGTGGGAACCGGCGAACGGTTCAACTCTTTAATTATTAAATAATGTCCTCTCTTGTCTTGTCTTGTCGTCGCTCCTTCTTTTCTTCACCCAGATCTCCTTCTGTGAGACTCGAGCCGGTGCGGTGCACATTACGGTGACGCTCATTAACACTCGTACCGTTCCCACGGCTCTCGGCCTCGCCCTGTGTGCCACACCCACTACCTTTGATAAACAAATAAATAAAAATAACTTTCAATCCCGATTTGCAGTCGGGACATCTCAGCACTAGTTGCTGAAAGTCAGAGTCAAGGTCCTTGCGCAGAGTCTGAAATGTTTCACGTGTTAAAAAATAAATACGACCTCACGTTGTGCCAATCGCGTTTACACACTGCATCCCAAACTTTCATCCGTCATAAAAGAAATTTTGAAAATTTGCATTTTTCGCATCTGTAGCAAGCATTTCGAGAGGTGTTTTGACAATTCAGAGCCAACGAATGACAAAAATGAAAAAACACATTTGAAAGTTTCGCACTCAGTGTGTAAGGACCTCCAGTCTTCAGATTTTGGCCAGTCGAATCGCATAGTGGAGGGGTGTCCAAACTCGGTCCTGGAGGGCCACTGTCCTGCAGAGTTTAGCTCCAACTTGCCTCAACACAGCTGCTTGTTTTTAGCATGCCATCATAGATATCTATATAAAGGCTAGATATCTCGACACTGGCCAATGGAGGTCGACGTCAGCACCTGGCGGCCATCTTGTCACAGGCAGCTCGCTCACTGGTAGCATTGTTTTAATGGTGCATGTACTTTTTAAATCACCGTAACTTGCTCAATTTTCAACCGATTTTCAAATGGTCTGGTTTGTTATAAACGGCAGAGATGTAGTTATGATACTGCATACTTAAGTTTATAAGTAAATAATCATCCAGAATTATAGCCACATTAATAACGTTTGTAAGAAACCAAACCGTTTGTAAATCCGTCAAGATTTCAACGAGATAAGAGTATTTCTTACATCAGATACCACAGAGCCCGCCAGAAAGCCTGTCTGTGACAAGATGGCCGCCGGTGATAACAATAAATACTCCGCCGTAAGACATCTAGCCTTTATATAGATATCTATGTGCCTAATGACCATCAACAGCTAATCAAGACCTTGATTGGCTGTTTCAGGTGTGTTAAATTGGGGTTGGAGCTAAACTCTGCAGGACAGTGGCCCTCCAGGACCGAGTTTGAACACGGTGCATGATGGCACACACTCTGATATTTTACTTTCAGACTATTGGCGCTTTTCCATTACCAGTACCAGCTCGACTCGGCTCGGCTCGCTTTTCGCTCCGTTTTCCATTGCAGACAGTACCGCCACAAATAGTACCCGGTCGTCATAGCGACGCCTTTCATTCCGCGCTGCCCTATCAAGCTCTCGCTGGATCCTCTCTTCGGCAACCAAACAAAAGAAAGTCTGCACCTCCTCATTTGACCATGGCGTATTCTTCCGAGTTGCCATAATAATAATAGCAGTAAGTTTAGGCTATGTTTACACGGAAACGATTCTGAAGAGAAAACGCAAGTGGCGTTGCGTTACCACTTTTTATTCTGCGTTTAGATGAGAGTTTTGGGTGTGAAATCCGCGTGCAGATGGTGGCACAAAAGTGTGTGAAATTCACTGTAGTATGCACTCCAGGCGGCTAAGAGTGCATACTACAACAACACCAAGCCCGCGCGCCTGCGTACAACCTTCACTGTCAAGCAGACCTTTGCGTTTTTACCGTTTACACGGGAACGCGGCGGTGGAGCGTTTTTAAGATTTCCACTCTGGAGGGTGGTTTCACTTTTTTGCGTTTTTAAGCCCCAAAAACGGCGTCGCCGTGCAAACGAAAGGCACATCCGATAAAATATTTTAACGTTTTCACCCGTGAGCGTTCTCGTGTAAACAGGGCCTTAGTAACTATCTCTGGCCAAACTATTTAAAAATGGCGGGGTGACGATTCACTCTGACCAATCAGCAGTCGGCATTGTTTCCACGTCACATTTTAGTATCGCCTCAGCTCACCTTAGCTCGCTCAGAACCTCGCCGGAGGTACCCAAAAGCAGCTACAGGTACAACTTACACAGTGGAAAACCAAACAAAGGCGAGCCGAGTCGAGCTGGTACTGTGTAGTGGAAAAGCGCAATATGACTCTATTCATACGGAGAAGATCGAGCACATTTGGTATTTTGAGCTAATTTTAGAACACGTGTAGTTTACTTTTGTTATGCATCTCTATAAGCGAGGTGTGTGTTTTTGCGTGACTTTGATGTGTTCTGAATGATTTGGCAGTCTATTGGAGTGTGATCCTCATAGTTTAGTGTATGACAATGCATTTGCAAACTCAGAAAGTGAACGATGCCTATACATTTGTATCTGTATAACTCCTGCCTCTATCAGTGATTAGATGCTTTCACAGATGTCATTTTCCAGTTTGCACAGCACAGTCACTGAGCAGGTTTCAGTCATCGAGGTGAAAGACGCTCCCTGGTGGACAGTCTGCGGACCTGACGGGAAAACCACCGACTTTAGTATGGACATGAAGGATCTCAGTAAAGTTACTGGTCCCATTATGAAATGCCTCTGAACACATGTAGAACTGCTTGTGTGACTTCCTGTTTAAGGCAGAGCTTGTTTACTTGCATCAAAACAAGACCAACAAGTGTAACATTGTCATTAAAAACAAAGGTCTGTGGACTGTCCTGTAGAGTTTAGCAACAACAACCCTAATGAAACACACCTGAACCAGCTGATCGAGCTCTTCAGGACTGCTCGGCAGGTCAGAGGTCTCTGTAGGAGCGGTGTTGAAGAGTTTTGGTTCAAAGCGCACATCTCCCACCCAGTGGTGACTCCTGCTAACAACAGCACAGCAAATTACACATTACACACATGAACAAATGCTTGAAACTCCCACAAAATAAAAGGTGTTGTCTGGAGGTCAAATATATATTTGTAACATATTTGTATATATTTGTAAAATATGTTCAGAGTAACACATATGTCAGGATGGGTAACAGGGTCCTGACAGAGTCCACATTTTAAAAGGCCCTTTCCCTTTTCATGCTGTGTTAATTTTATATTAGGTAATAGTTCACCCAATAGTTCTGTTTCTAACAATGATCCTATGATCTATCCAATGAATGACCAAATTATTCTTTGTTAATAGTGCTATGAATGTGGATTAAAATATTAAAACATACTCTTGAGTGCGTGCATTTCCATGATATGACTGTAAATGAACTGTACAGAAGTTATCTTTAATCTTTTATAATATGCCATTTCTGTATGCAACACATATAATAATCTTCACATGTTCTATTTCATTCACAAATTAAATGGATAAAACAACTGATAAATCAAATCTTTAATAGTTTTTTCACAGGGTCAAACTGCCAAATATCGCATGAAGAAAATTATGTTGTATTTTTTTTTTTTTTTTACACACATACTAAATATTGATCCTTGTAGGAATATAATATATTTGTAATATACATTTGTATTAAATAAGTTGCAATTTATATCAATTAAGAACAGTTAATTATAATTAAATTATGTTAATTCATATCGTTTTATATAATTTATTGATTAATTATATAATTAATCAAATTAAGCTACAGTTTTTCATTGGGTCTCTAATAATTTCCTATTTCTTATGAGAGAGAAATACATTATTATTCCTCCAGGCGGCGCTAGATTATTCCTCCAGGCGGCGCTAGATGTTTTAGAAAAACTACGATTAGGTCTTGTTAGATAGATTTTACGCTAAAAAGCATAATATATAATATATCTAATATAATATATAATATATAAAACAAAGTAGAAATAAATATATATTAAACCAAACTTCTTTGGTTTTCCTATTACCCGCTGTTTCAATATATAGACTATAATTCTGATTTGAAGGGAAAAAATATCTTCTACCATTTACATTCCTGAAAGTAGCATTTACAAAAAAACAAAAAACAAACAAAAAAATATATAAATAATTTAAGAGTAAAACAAATATCTACCGCTTATCCAAGAGTCCAAGAGCGGTCCGTTTAACTCGTTTCACTGCGCATGCGCATATCTCAGACATGGCGGCCCCCATGAAGCTGCAGTGTCTTGACGACTTTCCATCACATATTAATCCTCTACACGTACTTATCAACAAATCACACTTCACCCAGAAGTTTCCAGACTACACTGAATCCACATACGTGCTGTTATTTTCGCTGACGGACCAGCATTCCCCCTCAAATCGGGGCTTTTTGGTGTGCGCGCACATCACTCCAGAGGAAGAGAGCGATGTAAACACTCACACGTGTCTCGCTGTGTACGCGAGCAGATCTTTCTTAAAACACTACGGACTGAAGGAGCTTTCGCTGGGAACGGTTCGCCCACAGTCCCTGCTGCCTTTAAAGAGGATTGTGCTCGGCGCTCGGACGAAGCAGAGCTTTAAATGGGTTTGTTCAGAGCAGCTCTGCAGTGGTTTGCTAGTCCTGCTGTCCTGCCCCGGGATGACTCTGTTGGCGAGGCAGGGGGACTCGCTCCTGCTCCCCTTCCATCACTCACTGGGCGCTGCGCATGCGCAGATGTCAGACGTGCTGGTGCTCGAGTGCGCACCTGTGAGCCAGGGCATGATCACAGTGGACACGAGTGTGCTGGTGTCAGACTGCAGAGATCTGGACCTGAACAACCCCTCCTCCGTCATGATCAGCTCCAGACTGGCATCTTCCTCTCTCTGCGTGTCTGATTTTGCTCAGTACGCCAACAGCTTGAGCTCTGCCAGCTCTCTGCTCATCAACAAAGTCTTGGACTTCAGTGCTTTTTTACAGGCTCTTGAATGCAGACTTGACATCCGGGTGGTTGATGTCCCAGATCTCCAGAAACCAGGAGGAATCGTGTCCAGACTGGAGCCGGATGAAGGCTTGGACATTGACAGCAGTGTGTTTGTGAGCAAGAGCTTGCTGCTGAAGCTGGGTGTGTTTAACGGGGAGTGGGTCATTGTGTCCGTCCCAGCGGATAAGGCCAGGAAGACTCCCGTGTCTGCGAGTCCGGTCCCAGGACAGGGGGAGAGCGCCTGTAAGAGGCAGGGACGGGTCCATCTGGCCTCGGTCAGAGCCTTCGACACGCTTCCGGATGGGAATGACAGTGTGGGCTTGATCTCAGCAGTTCACTGGTTTAACCTGTCGGGGGGGATAGCAGTGCCTGTCGGGAATAAGGCCATCAAAATTAAGGTGTTCTGATAGTGATGCTCAAGTAATTTGAGTTTCAAAATATTCAATTCACAGTTTCAAAAAAAATCACAATATTACTACTAAAGGAGTATAGGCCGATATTATCGGCCGATACTAGGCATTTTCCAAACTATCGGTATCGGCAGTTATAATGGCCGATAAATGAACATTTAAAAAATAAAATAAAAAACGTTGTTACAGTGTAGTTGACTGACTGTCCTTTTAACTTTTGACAATGTGACTTTAAGTATTTCTTTAATAGCACATGACAGTTATAGCAATGAGACATATCATTTCTCCTTGGCCTGTTTTATTGAAAATGTATATTTTGCAATTTGCACTATGACGTTATCCATTGCTAAATTATGGCTCATCATAGACTAGCTAACCACAAAGCTAGCTAATGCCACAATCATCAGTGGAAAACCGCTAACGTTAACATTAACGAGCTTTGGTTCCTCTGTCCTGTTGCGACAATAAAAGAAACAAGTTTCTTTTTAAAATGCATTATCATATTATTTTAGTTAAAACTCATACATAACTACAAATAACTAATGTTAGGGAAATCTGTTAATGTTTTGTTGCGCGTTTCTGAAAAAAAACAAAAACAAATATCGGCCGATATATCGGAATATCGGATTTTAAAACCAACAAATATTTGTATCGGTATCGGCCTTCAAAATCCTTTATCGGTCGGGCTCTAAATGTCATTATTATTTACTCTCCCCTCGTCATCCAAGATGTTCATGTCTGTCTTTGATGGCTGATTATGTGATGATGTGACCGGATGTCTCTGTGTCTTGCTCAAGCAGAGGTGGAATAAGGAGTCTCAGCACACAGAGCCTCAGACGTCTGCGAGCGCGTGTCGATCGGCGGCGCCGGCGTTTGTTCGAGAGCTGCACATTGAAGCGGTCATATCTCCTGACTACGCCTCGCACGGGCCCTTCGACACACTCCTCCACACACACTTCAGCTCACCCAGGTGATCAATCACAGTTCACTCATCCATCAGTCTCAGTCTCTCTGTGTCTGTCTGTTTTTCTGAATGCTGTGTTTGTTTCAGGCTTGTTCAGCAGGGGAATATACTGGGAATCCCATCGGAAGGACATCCGGATCTGATCGAGAACAGCTCTGAAGGAATCCTCAGCTGCAGGTTCATCTTCAGCCGCTAATGTTTGCCGTATATCTAAGTGAAACGGATTATGAACAAGAACAGATGTGGGCGGGGCTTGATTGTATGGCTGTGGTTTGCAAATGGCTGATCTCGTATGAGTGACAGGTTGTAGCCCCGCCCTCATCATCAGAGAGAAGAGGAAGTTAGTCTGATTCAAGATTACCAGAACATGAATTTAAAACCAGAATGATCAATCATTTATGAATTTTGATATCATGGTGACTTGGATGATCTTTGAGAGTTTTTGTGATTGGCAGGTGGCCAGTGCTGTATTTCCGAGTAAAGCAGGTGTGCGGTTTTTCTGCTGAGGAGGACGAGGGTTCTTCATATCTGGCTGATTCCAGTCACACTTCACTATACATGGTGAGGAAGGCAGACAATCACATTCACAGGAGTCGTACAGTTGTCATGTGCAGATTGCTGAGGCTCTGATTGGCTGCCACAGGGAGGCTCCGCCCACAGCCCGTGTCCCTGCTCTGTGCTGCCGAAGGGCTCGTCTCTCTGGAGGAGTCTCAATCCCGCTGGCCTGTGCAGCGCCGTGGAGAAACTGCTCACCGTCATCCAGCCGCACCTCAGCCAGAGGTACAGGCGCTTCAGTCTTACAACTCCGGTCTCTTTTCTCAAGGGACAATTCTGCTATATAAACTTATATTTCTGACTTTATAAGTCAAAATTGCAAGTTTAAATCTTCGAAAAAAAGTGGGCAATTGTGTGAGGAAAAAAAATCAGACTTAATTTTCACAATCACAACTTTCTTTTTTGCAACTTTATAACTATTTCTGATGTAATTATGACAAAAGCTGCTCGTGGTTTTATTATCAGAGCCCTGGAGTATCAATATATTAAATAAATGAATTACAATTTTGTGATTCTGCACTGTATATTCTTCAATAGAAACAATAGTTTTTAAGAAAAAATGTTCACTCGATTTTGTGTGTTTTTAAGGCTGGATGTTCATGCTTAAACTTAATTTATTAATTGAGACGCGTTTAAGTCATCCTGACCTTCTGGTGGAGAATATTGTGGTTTCAGTGTTTTGATGTAAGGGATAGTTTACTTTGAAATACATTTTTGATATGTTTTATCTTACCTCAAGGGCATCCAAGATGTAGGTGTCTTTGTTTCCGCAGTATTTTCAATTTTGATATTTTTAGGTCAAACCGTTCTTGTCTGTCAGTCATATAATGGAGGTCTATGGTCACCACCTCAAAGAGCATGCACAGAGAAGTCCAGATTAAACATGATTGAATGACTCGTAAATGTAAGTACACATTGATGGCCTAAGACACGAAACGAGCGGTTTGTGTGAGGAAACGAACAGTATTTATATCGTTTTACCTCTTCGTCACCACAGCCACAAAGCACCCTCGCCCTCAGATCCCTTGGACACGAGGTAAAAACGACATAAATACTGTTTGTTTTCTCACACAAACCGCTCGTTTTGTGTCTTAGGCCATCAATGTGTCCTTACATTTATGAGTCATTAAATCATGTTTAATCTGGACTTCTCAGTGCATGCTCTTTGAGGTGGTGACCATAGACCTCCATTATATGACTAGACAAGAACGGTTTGACCTAAAAATATCAAAATTGAAAATACTGCGGAAACAAAGACACCTACATCTTGGATGCCCTTGAGGTAAACTAAAACATACCAAAAATGTATTTCAAAGTGAACAATCCATTTAGCAAACAAAGCCGAGCGTCCCCTGCAGGGGATCACTCCTGATGTTAGCTTGGTTCATACTTATATACACACATCCTTTTCCAAAGAAGGTCATGCATACTTATAGATATTTTGGGGTAAAGGTCTTGTACCATGTGACTTCTGAGAATAGAATTTTCTGTTGTATCAGCATTCGGGCCTTGTCAAACCCAAAGACAGACACACACACACACAGAGGAACTAATAGTGTCCTAATATATAGCTAATTTTCTAAATAATAAAATCTTTAACAAGAACTACTGCATTGGAGTATGTTTTAACTAGAATCTGTTACTGTATATATTGCTGGAATGCTGAAATGATGTTAATTAACACATTAACACCTTACAGCTCTCTTGCATTAAACGGAGGCTGTTCAGTTCTCCTGACGGGTCCGAGCGGCTGTGGGAAAGTGACCGTGGTGAAAGCGGCTTGCAGGAGATTACATCTGCATCTGATTAAGGTGATCGGGGATTTCTCTTCATTATTGTTCTTGAGTTTTTCTGCAGTTATGAGCTTCAAAATCTTCATAAGTCTCCCGTGAAGCGCACAGGAAACACAAATGCCACTTGTTGCCATGATTTAACTTAATTACAATGAGGGAACTAATGTCACATTTTCAAAGTTCTGATATGACGGTGTTGTGAATGAGTGTGTGTGTGTCCGCTCAGGTGGACTGCGTGACTCTCTGCGCCGACACCGCCGCCGCGTGCGAGGCTAAGATGAAGTCCGTCTTCGAGAGAGCTGCGCTCCATCACCCGTGTGTTCTGCTGATGAGAAACCTGCATCTGCTCGGCCAACGGGACGGCAACGAGACCGACTCCAGGGTCGCGGCCTCGCTCTGCCGGCTCGTGGCAGACGCTCATGCCAGGTGAGGCTCAGACAGTTCACCTGCAGCGTAGAGGTGACTCCTGCTGGTGTATCATCACCTGGGGTTGAATGAACCTTTTTTCTCACTAGCCAATTTGGCTACAAAATTAAAGGAGTAGTTCACTTTTAAAAAAGCTTTTGCTGATAATTTACTCACCCCCATGACACCCAAGATGTCCATGTCTTTCTTTCTTCAGTCGAAAAGAAATTAAGGTTTTTGATGAAAACATTCCAGGATTTTTCTCCATATAATGGACTTCAATGGGAACCAAACGGTTCAAGGTCCAAATGAGAGTTTCAGTGCAAACTGTTCAAAGGGCTTTAAACGTTTCCAGACAATGAATAAGGGTCTTATCAAGCAAAACGATCACTCATTTAATAAATAAATAACAAAGTTTAAGTTTTATAAGCACAAATGGTCGCCTTGCTCTGTTCTGTGATGAACTTTCGTGACTCTCCTGTTCATCAAAATGAACAAATCTTTTTTCGAGTCATGACTCGAAGGGTCCTAGATAAGACCCTTATTCGTCGTCTGGAATCGTTTGAACAATTTGCACTGAAAGTGTCTTTTGGACCTTGAACCGTTTGGTCCCCATTGAAGTCCATTATATGGAGAAAAATCCTGGAATGTTTTCATCAAAAACCTTAATTTCTTTTCGACTTAAGGAAGAAAGACATGGACATCTTGGATGACATGGGGGTGAGTAAATTATCAACAAAAGTTTTATTAAAAGTGAACTACTCCTTTAAAGTAAGCCAGATATCAGCAGATCATGATGACTCACGAGTTGGCTTGAGATTTGCCATAAACGAACTTCCCCAGCAAAGTGAGTATACATAAGTAACACGGCAAATTGGCTCGTGATTTGACAGCGTTACCCGCCACAGTTGATTCTGACCCGCTGCATGTGGCGGGTGTTATTTGAACCCCACCCTCCTCTTGTCCTCTCGTCCTGCAGTGTGGTTGTGGTGGGCTCTGTGAGCGGCCAGAGAGAGCTGTCCTCAGATGTGATGGCAGCGTTTGTGCACCAGGTGGCGATCGAGAGCCTGAGCGAGGAGCAGCGCCGGGCCATGCTGGCCAGCCTCAGTGACGACCTGCTGCTGGGAAAAGACGTCAATCTGGGCAAGATAGCCAAACACACAGCCGTGAGTCATCTGACTGATCACCCCGCTCTGCTCACAATGGAAAATGCTGCATTAGAGGAGTCGTTCACTTCAGAATGAACATTTCCGGAACATTTACGTCATCCAAGATGTCCATGTCTTTCTTTCTTCAGTGGAAGAGAAATGAAGGTTTTTGAGGAACACACTCCAGGATGATTCTCCATATAATGGACTTCAATGGTCCAACGGGTCGAAGGTCCAGATGTGAGTTTCAGTGCAGCTTCAAAGTCTCGACACGATCCAGCCGAGGAATAAGAGTCTGATCTAGACAAACCAGCCGACATTTTATTAATACCATTGAAGTCCATTATATGGAGAATCATCCTGGAGTGTGTTCCTCAAAAACCTTCCTTTCTTTTCCACTGAAGAAAGAAAGACATGAACATCTTGGATGACGTGGGGAGAGTCAACTATCATGTTAATTCTGAAGTGAACGACTCCTTTAAATCACATTACGGAAGTTTCTTGTTGACTTTGTTTCTGTGTTGTTCGCGTAGGGTTTCGTTTTAGGAGATCTTTGCGCTCTTCTCACCAACGCTGGGAAAGCCGCTCACAGAAGACTTCTGAAGACGTAGTAAGTGTTCACTCAGTCTCTCCTCATGGTTTTACTTCCTGAAACTGTGGTGTTTGTGCTGTGTAGTTTCCCAGAAGCGGCGAGTGACCAGGACGAGGAGGATCTGTGTGTCTCTGGCGTGAGCGTCTCGTCCGAGGACTTCAGCTCGGCGCTGGACGTCCTGCAGGAGGCGCACTCACACGCCATTGGAGCGCCTAAAGTACAGTTGCCTTTTTGTGTTTATTTTTTTTTTAGGCCGTTGTAGAACAGAAGTACTCTTTAGCATACTTTAAACGGTAGTTTTCAAAGGAAAGTGTGATTTATACATTTAAGGACTGAGTAATAATAATTAAATACATGTACTGATATAGGGCTAGGAATAGGATTATGATTAGCTGCATGTAATTGTGCATCATTTTCTGTTATTGCTGTAATAACTACATGTATAACAAGGTCACTGTACAATAGTCATTTTACATACATACATCATATACTCAAGTGCAAGCTGAATGTAATGTTTTTGCACAATTAATTGCATGTTCATTGTAATTGCATTTATTTTATGTTTAAATGCAATTAGCTGAACTTTAGAGTGTTTTGACCCACTTAAGTGGGACTAAAGTGTTTCACAATTACTTTTATTGACTTTCAAATATGGTTAGAGTTACTACTGAATGTTTCGACAAGCATTTAGTGTAAACTCAAATATACTTTATTTCTATTGAAACTTAAATATCATGTATTTAACCCTCTGATGGTCTTCGTTTGGGAATCACGTGCGTGGTCTTTGGGGTCTGGTGGATCCCCAGACAATAACATTTCATTTTGTAACAGAATAGTATTATTACTATTTTTTTTTTTTTTTACAAATATAATTTTATTTGGTTTATTAATGTTTTTACTCAACATTTGTGCAGTTTTTGGAGGATTTATGATATCTTTTAAATTTCTATAAATAAATAAAAATTTATTTAAATAGTGTTTTTTCCAAAAAAAATTTGAATCAAACCTGAACAAGGTTACAAAGAGAAATGTTGGAGTCTTAAGATTTGAGTGTGTGTGTTGGACCATCAGAGGGTTACATGTATCTGTAATTACACATTTCAATTCAATACATTTTAAATTTGCTTTAAATGTAACATTAAAAAACTCACTACTGTTCAAGTTGTTGTTACTCTACACAGACCAAAACAAGTGCACTTCTTTAAAACACACTCAAGTGTGTTAAGAAACATAATCATAAAAGTGGCTCTCTTTAAGTGCACTTAAGTGGCATTTTATTTAATTAATATTACGTTATATGCCAGTAAAGTAATTAAAAATACTTTTTTTAGATTTGAAGTACATAAGTGCACATTCAATACTATTAAAAGCACTTTTTTTAACACAGGGATTGTTTTCATGTTTAAATGTGTTCTTAAAACTTTCTGTCATCATTTATTATTCACTTAAAGGAGTAGTTCACTTTTCAAAAACTTTTGCTGATAATTTACTCACCCCCGTGTCATCCAATATGTCCATGTCTTTTTTTCTTCAGTCGAAAAGAAATTAAGGTTTTTGATGAAAACATTCCAGGATTTTTCTCCATATAATGGACTTCAATGGGAACCAAACAGTTCAAGGTCCAAAATACAGTTTCAGTGCAAACTGTTCAAAAGGCTTTTATAAGCTCAAATGCTCGCCTTGCTCTGTTCTGTGACTCTCCTGTTCGAACTCGTTCATCAAAACGAACAAATCTTTTTTCGAATCAATTCATTCATTCAACCAAATGACACGAAAAAAATAAAACTTAAACTTTGTTATTTATTTATTAAATGAGCGATCGTTTCGCTTGATAAGACCCTTATTCATCGTCTGGAGTCGTTTAAAGCCCTTTGAACAGTTTGCACTGAAACTGTCTTTTGGACCTTGAACCGTTTGGTTCCCATTGAAGTCCATTATATGGAGAAAATCCTGGAATGTTTTCATCAAAAACCTTAATTTCTTTTCGACTGAAGAAAGAAAGACATGGACATCTTGGATGACATGGGGGCGAGTAAATTATCAGCAAAAGTTTTTTGAAAAGTGAACTACTCCTTTAAGGAGCAGTAAAATGTGATGCAGTCGAGCTGTGTTTGAAGGCTGAGAGTTATCCTCTCTTGTGTGTGTCAGATCCCGTCGGTGAGATGGCAGGACGTGGGTGGACTCCAGCAGGTGAAGAAGGAGATCCTAGACACGATCCAGCTCCCCCTGGACCACCCGGAGCTGCTCTCGCTGGGCCTGCGGCGCTCCGGCCTGCTGCTCTACGGGCCGCCCGGCACGGGCAAGACCCTGCTGGCTAAAGCCGTGGCCACCGAGTGCACCATGACCTTCCTCAGGTCAAATTATATTACAGTGTTTCCCATACATTGGTTCACAATATCAACTTTTCAAAAGGTTTCGACACCGTTTAATAAACATGAGCACTGCACGTTTTTAGAGTCAAACGTGGCGCGGGTGTTTTTATATGAGTGTAACTTTGAAGGAAACTGACTTTTGATGTTATTTCCACTTAATCTATCTTTCTCTTTCCTGATAAAGCAGCGTTGTGTTATGAATTCATAAATGCGTTCAATGCTGGACCTCTTTGTTACTAGTGTGGATTTCTCTACAATATTCACTCCTGACAGTAAAATAGGGCCGTCGAAGTCAAACTAATGCAGTGTCTCCTCTCTCAATCAGGAGAAAATGTGGTTAACACCCAGTCATGCTTGAAAAAAATAATACTGTCATATACCGGTTTGATTTATAAAAATGTGCCGCCCAGCACTAGCTTTCATATAGTGAGTGTGTCTGGTGTTTGTTTTCAGTGTGAAGGGTCCTGAACTCATCAACATGTACGTGGGTCAGAGTGAAGAGAACATTCGAGAGGGTAAGAGGAACACAATGAGCTAGCCATCTCCATCTAGTGATGCTTATGAGCTGATTTCCACTATATTGTTCGGTCAGTGTTCAGGAAGGCCAGGACAGCTGCTCCCTGCATTATCTTCTTCGATGAGCTGGACTCTTTGGCTCCTAATAGAGGCCACAGTGGAGACTCAGGAGGGGTGATGGACAGGTCAGCATCACAAAACCGTAACGCTACACCACACGTGCAGATTGTTGCTGCTAAACATTCAGAAATAACAACACTAGTTTTTCTCTATTAGTAGTAATTGGGTATTAGAATGCTGTCTGATTAATAAGGCTCCGATATACTTCAAGTACTGGTGTAACGCCATTTCGAAAAGTTTGTTCCGGGAGTTCGTAACGGCTTACTAAAGAAACTTTAGGGGGGTGTGTCTCTGAGGCTCCGCCTTCTCTGGCATGGAAATCTTCTCCGGGTCATTTTCCATATTTTTAAACACTGTTGTATATATCGAACTGCGAAAGTTTACTACATTACATACATACTTATATATCCAGCTTCATATCATCTTGTGATGAGATTTGCTATGTATTATAAATTGCTTTCCATAATGAACTCGTTCAAAAAAATGAACAAATCTTTTTCCGAATCAATTCGTTCGTTTCTTTTTTGCCGAATGAACCAAATGACTCGGAAAAAGATTTGTTCATTTTGATGAACGAGTTCGAACAGGAGTGCGTTACAGAACAGAGCAAAGCGAGCGTTAGAGCTTATAAAACTTAAACTTTGTTATTTATGTATAAAACGAGCGATCGTTTCCCTTGATAAGACCCTTATTCATCGTCTGGAATCGTTTAAAGCCCTTTGAACAAGTTTGCAGTTTGCACTGAAACTGTCTTTTGGACCTTGAACCGTTTGGTTCCCATTGAAGTCCATTATATGGAGAAAAATCCTGGAGTGTTTTCATCAAAAACCTTAATTTCTTTTCGACTGAAGAAAGAAAGACATGGACATCTTGGATGACATGGGGGTGAGTAAATTATCAGCAAAAGCTTTTTCAAAAGTGAACTACTCCTTTAAGATATTTTTAAATAAGGAGCGTGTTAGTTTTTTCTTTTGTGTTGTGAATCAAAAAACTTTAATTGTATTGGTTAAAGGGTTGTTTCATTGGCAGACACAATTAACCAAAGGGACTTGCATTGCATTCTTGGTGCTCGTTCTATGAGCTATTGATTTCCCTGCGAACCGAACCCATGACCTTGGCGATGCTGGTGCCATGATCTTCCGTTTGAGCTACAGGACGGCTTCTTGCATCATAAGCCAGGTTTCGTCATGTGTTTCTCTAGGGTTGTGTCGCAGCTTCTAGCGGAGCTGGATGGTCTTCACTCGTCTGGAGACGTCTTTGTGATCGGAGCCACTAATCGTCCAGATCTCCTGGACCAATCATTGCTCAGGCCTGGCAGGTAAACGGATTCAGAGAACAGCTCTTCTATTGTTGTCTTGAATGAAATGCATGAATTCTAGCAATTTGCCCTCTTTCAGGTTTGATAAGCTGGTGTATGTTGGTGTGAATGAAGACAGAGAGTCGCAGCTGCAGGTTCTGAAGGCAATCTTACGCAAGTGAGTGTCTATCATGACATGTACCTCCCTCTCAGTGCTGTAGTGTGTTACGTGACTGACTCTCTGCTTGTAGGTTTAATGTGGATCCCAGCGTGTGTCTGTCAGATGTCGTGGAGTCCTGCCCTCCTCAGCTGACCGGAGCCGATCTCTACGCGCTCTGCTCAGATGCCATGATGTGCGCCATCAAGAGGAAGATTTCACTCATCACTGAAGGTATGTGACAAGCAAGTGTTCAGTGCAGAGAAACGTGTGGAAAAATGTGACGGATGAAATGGCTTCTTTGATATGCTGGAGTGACTATACCATGTCAAACTAAATGGCAAATGTCATTATATGTATATCATGCATTTCTGATTAATATCAATGCTGAAAACAGTTGACACCGTGACACTACCATTCAATAGTTTGGTGTAAGATTTATTTAAAAAAAGAAAAATTAATACTTTTATTCAGCAAGGATGCACTAAGTAGATCAAAAGTGACAGTAGACATTTATAATGTTAAATTCATTTGTGTTTCTTATCTTGTGTATTAAACTACATTTATATTGGGATTCATGCGTCTACCTTCTCCTCCTGGAGATGGATGAAGCTTGAGGAGGACGAAGAAGGTAGGTGAACACAGGTGAGCTGTGTGCTTATGGATGGTGTTGATGGATGAGGAAGCGACAGGTGTGGCAGGTTAGTGTTCCAGTGATGGTGAGCTGGTGGATCTGGTGCTGATGGCATGCTGGCTGAATCGGTGACAGTACCCCGGCCCCAGCTTACCACAGGGCGGTCGGAGACTGATGTCTCTGGTGGAGAGCCAGACCATTTGACCCTAATGGTAGGAGGGTGTTGCTGCTCCTCTAGGGAGTTCCGAGTACTCAGTAGTAAACGGATCCAGCTGAGCGGATGGTTGTGACAGTATGACTGCAGGTAAAGTCCAATTTCTTGAATTTTGCTTTCGGTTTAGCCATTGGTTTGGGGATGATAGCCGGAAGAAAAGCTTGCTGTTAATCCGAGAAGTTCAAAAAGACAGCTTTCCACACATGAGAGGTGAATTTTGAGCCTCTATCCAACATGATGTCTTCAGGTAACCTGAAGTTACGGAAGACATGATGGTATAGTTTCAGGTTTCCGAAACGGTTTCAATGGCAGTGAGAAAGCCTTTGAATGGTACGTGTTTACAAGCTTTGGAGAAGCAGTCAACAGCCACTAAGATTTGGAGTCTCTGATGCGGCATCCTCAAATGAAGCGTTAGATGTCCTGCGTCATACTTGGCCACCAATAGTTTTCACGGAGGAACAAGTGGGTGTCCTGGAAACCTGGATGCCCGGATCCAGGAGACGAATGAACTGAGTCCATGAGGGTCACATGCAGGTTGGATCCACTTGCATCCCTCTGGACCTCTCGGCAGACCAGGCTCTTCTCTAGTGGCAGCTGTTTACTGATAATTCGGGGACCAATAAATCGGGCACACAAAGAGGGCTGGAGGGAGAAGTCTGGAGATTGAAGGTGGGAAAGAGCATTCGCATTCACTTTGGTGTTCTTGTCAGCTGGATGGCAAGTAACTTCAAAACGTGTGAAGAAGAAATTCTGGAGATATTCCAAGTTACGATGATTCATGATGACTAGGAACTGGTGTTTTGCTTCCTCCATCTAGAGCTAACTTGATGTTGAGAAGCTGATGATTGCCGATGTCATTATTCTGCTCTGCCAGGGACAGTATTGGCATCCACTTCTGCTTCTTTCAGTATGTCAAATGCTTCAGTGGAAGCTGGATTCCAAGACAGAGACTTGTAATAAAGTTATGGGAAAGGCAATCAAGCTGAAGCGATGGATTTCCTATAGACTATGCATTTTCGTACAGAAAACGTTGCAACTCTCTGATGGAAGTTGGTTGTAGGGGGTCCAGTTCCTGATGGCATGGACCTTCCTCTGGTCCATCTGGATGCCACCTCCCTCAATAATGTAACCCAGGAAGTAGATAGAAGGCTGAGGAAATTTCCAATTTCTCCAGCTCAAGATAAAGTGGGTAGTCTCTGAGGCGTTGAAGGACCTGCGCAACATGTTGGTGATGTTCAGCCAGGTTTCGGGAGTAGATAAGGATATCATTGATGTAAATGATGACAAAACTCTGGAGCTCACCTAGTTAGCCCATGCTTAATAACCCGGTATTCATAATGGCCAGATGGTGTGATGAAGATGGTTTTACACTTTCACCCTTCCTAATTCGGATTAGATGGTATGCGCTGCACAGGTCCAGCTTGGAGAGGATGTGGGCACCTCTCAGTTGATCCAGGAGTGTTAGAACCAGGGGAAGAGGATAATGATGCTTGACCGTCTGGTCATTCAGAGATCTGTAGTCGATGCCTTCCTCAAGACTACTTTCTTTTTTGCCACAAAGAAGCAGCTTGAACCAGCAGGGGAAGTAGATGGTTGGATGAACCCTTGTTAAAAGGGATAGTTAACCCAAATATGAAAATTCTGTCATAATTTACTCACCCTCAATGTGATTCAAACCTGTATACATTTCTTTGTACTGCTTAACACAATGGAAGATATCTTGAATAATGTTTGTAACCAAGCAGATCTTGAGCACCATTGACTCATAACCTGTTAATATTTTGGTGACCTATCCCTTTAAGGTCCTCTTCATCCATGTCTCCACTCCCCTTATCTCCATGTCTCCTCTACCCTTGTCTCCATGTCTCCACTCCCCTTGTCTCCATGTCTCCACTCCCCTTGTCTCCATGTCCCTACTCCCCTTGTCTCCATGTCTCCACTCCCCTTGTCTCCATGTCCTTACTCCCCTTGTCTCCATGTCTCCACTACCCTTGTCTCCATGTCTCCACTCCCCTTGTCTCCATGTCTCCACTCCCCTTGTCTCCATGTCCCCACTCCCCTTGTCTCCATGTCCTTACTCCCCTTGTCTCCATGTCTCCACTCCCCTTGTCTCCATGTCCTTACTCCCCTTGTCTCCATGTCTCCACTCCCCTTGTCTCCATGTCCTTACTCCCCTTGTCTCCATGTCTCCACTACCCTTGTCTCCATGTCCCCACTCCCCTTGTCTCCATGTCCTTACTCCCCTTGTCTCCATGTCTCCACTCCCTTGTCTCCATGTCCTTACTCCCCTTGTCTCCATGTCTCCACTCCCCTTGTCTCCATGTCCTTACTCCCCTTGTCTCCATGTCTCCACTACCCTTGTCTCCATGTCTCCACTCCCCTTGTCTCCATGTCTCCACTCCCCTTGTCTCCATGTCTCCACTCCCCTTGTCTCCATGTCTCTACTACCCTTGTCTCCATGTCTCCACTCCCCTTGTCTCCACTACCCTTGTCTCCATGTCCCCACTCCCCTTGTCTCCATGTCTCCACTACCCTTGTCTCCATGTCTCCACTCCCCTTGTCTCCACTCCCTTGTCTCCATGTCTTACTCCCCTTGTCTCCATGTCTCCACTCCCCTTGTCTCCATGTCCTTACTCCCCTTGTCTCCATGTCTCCACTACCCTTGTCTCCATGTCTCCACTCCCCTTGTCTCCATGTCTCCACTCCCCTTGTCTCCATGTCTCCACTACCCTTGTCTCCATGTCTCCACTCCCCTTGTCTCCACTACCCTTGTCTCCATGTCCCCACTCCCCTTGTCTCCATGTCTCCACTACCCTTGTCTCCATGTCTCCAGCCTTTGCCTCCAGCATTGATAGAGGACAGATTCTACCCTTGGGCAGTGTAATCCCGGGTACCAGCTCGATGGCGCAGTCCCATGGCCGATGAGGTGGAAGTTTAGGGACAGCTGCTTGCTGAACACATCAATGAACTCCCTGTATTCTTCAGGCACACACACGGTGGACTGCACCTCTGGACTTTCAGTGGTGGTGGAGTTGAGATTGACTAGAAGTTGTAGACGATGATTGAAGCAGTACTCACTCCACTCAGTTATTTCTCCAGTAGACCAGGAAACGTTAGGTGAGTGGATCTGTAGCCATGGGTGTCCCAGTGATATCAGTGGATTCCTCGACCAAGCAGCTCACCCAGGAACGAGTGGATGTTCAGGATCAGTAAACAGGGGAGTGTCTTGATTCAGAGGTGTTTGAGAAGTTCCTTTGAGATGAAATTCCCAGTCGATGAAGGCCTGAGTGAGTTCATTTTAATTTCTGTTTGAAATCGTGAACATTGCAACAGAAATCCTCTGCCGCTCCAGCGAAGGTCGCTGGTTGGGCCATGGGACGGAATTATGTGACTAACACAGGAGTGGAAGGAGGAAGAAAGGATCGTCGAGAGACTTCTAGTTTCCTGTGTGATACTTTTGTTCAGTCCGGTCTTCTGTCATGAAACAGGAGCTGAGACGCGGTGATGAACTGAACAGGTTTTTATTCACAGGTTTGATCTTTTGGATCATCAAACGGGTAAGTGAAGAGCATAAGCAGTTCAAAGGACAGTCGACAAGTCTCCCTCTCTGCAGGATGGAAGAAGCGTACGCAGATGAGATGCAGTCTGCCGGTAGCTTGAGGAGGACGAAGAAGGTAGGTGAACACAGGTGAGCTGTGTGCTTATGGATGGTGTTTGATGAGGAAGCGACAGGTGTGGCGGACACCTGGTGCTGATGGACCTGGTGCTGGTGGACCTGGTGCTGATGGACCTGGAGCTGATGTACCTGGTGCTGATGGACCTGGAGCTGATGGACCTGGTGCTGATGGACCTGGTGCTGATGGATCTGGTGCTGGTGGACCTGGTGCTGGTGGACCTGGTGCTGATGGACCTGGTGCTGATGGACCTGGTGCTGGTGGACCTGGTGCTGATGGACCTGGAGCTGATGTACCTGGTGCTGATGGACCTGGAGCTGATGGACCTGGTGCTGATGGACCTGGAGCTGATGGACCTGGTGCTGATGGATCTGGAGCTGATGGACCTTGTGCCGATGGGTCTGGTGCCGATGGGTCTGGTGCCGATGGATCAGGTGCTGATGGACCTGGTGCTGGTGGACCTGGTGCTGGTGGACCTGGTGCTGATGGACCTGGAGCAGATGGATCTGGAGCTGATGGATCTTGGACACAGACTCAATGTGTTCAAAATGTTCACTCCAGTGCAAATATTTGCAGTGAATTAAAAAACGACCATCAAAACAGTGTCTGTGCATTTGACAGTTCTACAGCTGAGATCTTTATTTGTCAAGTTTAGAGCAAAATATTTTTAAACCAAGAAGATATGAAAACATTACATTGTATGCTTGAAACCCATGTGTTCCCATTCCAGGTACTCTCTCTGAGCCAGAAACAAACTCTACGCAAGTATGCGAATGCAAATGGCTCTAGCTATGCAAGCTTCGATTCATAATGCATGTACTCTTGCTGTAGACATTCAGTTGTTGTCTCCTGCCATCCCTTATTTCTTTCAAGCAAGATAGTTTGTTATTTATTTGTTTAATGACACAGACTGAGATTTATCACCGCAGTAATGTTTGAGTGTGTGTACCGAGTGTTCACGTCTGCGTTCGTCTACTTGAGTAAAGGATGTTTCTGGCCTGACTCTGTTTGTCTCTCTGGTTCTTTCTCAAAGTCTGGCCTACTTCCCTTCATCTTTCTTCATGTCTCTGTCTGCGGTGCAGGTGTGGATTCGGAGGCCGGCGCTCTGACTCTGTGTTCAGAGGACTTCAGACAGGCTCTGTCAGGCCTTCAGCCATCCGTCTCTGAACAGCAGCTCAACAGATACAAACTCATCCAGCAGAAGTTCAACACCAAATGACACTCATTCCTCCAGTGGTCACTGCTGAACCGAAACGCTTTGTGTCCTAACCAGAGCTCACGTGTTAAGCTACTCTCATTGGTGCATTTAATTGTACATTAAACATCAGATGTGTTCTGATTGGCTGTGTTGCACTTTCACCTTCAATGTGCACATACATTTTGAATGAAGAGACTTGTCTGGTTAGGACACAGTAGAAATGATCTCTAAAGAAGAGCATCAAATATGTAGCAAGTGGAGCCTGCTCACGTTCACTTTCCTATCCTGCGGGAGTTCTGTACGTCTTCCTTAATGGGTTTCATAATTAATGCTGGAACGGAAATCAGTCAGGCTGAAGAATGCAGAATCAAGGCCTTCTCTTAGTTCATGCTAAGAGATGAGATTAAATATTAAATATCATTTACGACAGCACTGCAATAACCACAACTAAAGAGAAACTGTTAGCTAATGCGAGTTAATAGTTGTGTTCGTGTTTGATGATGAACGGCACCTAATTTGTGTTTTTCATAAAAAAACACAATATAAAATAGTATAATTCACTTGAATCTTCCTCCTTTAATTACGCATCGGTCACACTTTATATTAAGTGCTTAGTTTCAGATCACTCAAGTAATCAATTAATTTGCTATGCAAAAGTTAAAAAGAGCTGAAAACAGTGATTTATGTCTGTATATTTTTTTAAAATGTTAATAAGAATAATTTAATAAAAGGTTTACAGATTTTTGTTTTATAAATATGTAATTGCTACTTAATTACTGTGTTGTTACTACATGTAACAAAGGACAATTGAACGACTTAATATAAAGTGTTACCATGTTTATTCAAAGAAAACTGAAAGTAAACGTGATTCTTCGAGCAAATCTACGTGTCTGCTTTGACATAGTAGCTCAAGATAGAAGACAATATGAACACAAAAAACACAATTGTTCAAAAGATTAATTAATTGTGAAAATTTCATGCTGTACAAGCACTGTAAAAAAAAATATTTTCATGAATTGTAATCACAACATGTTTTCTTTTGTCAAATCAACTTAAAATATTATGTTATCTGAACTACATAAATTATTTAAGTTTCTGATGATTAAATCAATCTCCTTCATTGTATTAACTCAATTTTTCCATTTCAAATTTAATAAGGCAACCAGGTTACTACATTTTTTTAAGTTAAACCAACAATATATATTTTTTACAGTGTATATGTTGACTCGTGCTGTAGCTTGATGCTGGAATCAAGTGTGAATCAGTGAATCGTATGAAAACCATCAAGAAATGTCATATTTCACCCCACCGTCATTTATCATTTAAAAAATATAATTCATAAATTAAATAATTAACAAAATATACAAATTATATTTTGCTGAAATAAATGTAATTAAAATTACAATTGTTTTACTTTATAGTTGATTTAATGTTTATAAATTATATTTAATAATGAAAACCCAATGTGAATAACTATTGTGGGTAAAAAGAAAATTGTCCATATGTATTTCAGTAATGAGATGTGCCTAATTGTCATGAAAATAATAAAGTGTAAACAAAACAAAAACTGCCAAATGTAATTTCTTATTTTTTTCCTTCTGATTTTGAGGTGATTTATGAGCGATACTAGACATGCTTCATGAAATTCACCTAACAAGTGGTGCAGTCTTGAATTAAAATGTTCATTAAAGATTATGTGGATGTCTTTATTCACATAAGTTAAATAGCTGTTTGAAACTGTTTTCTCATGACAGTTTAGTTTGTTAAATGATAGTAGGGCCACAAAATGATTCATTTGGATTGTGAGATGTTTTATAACTAGTGTTTTTCTTCTTCATTGGATATGGACATATATTGACACAGTAACGGACTGTCAGCTGTCGGTCTGACGGGCTCAACAGTATGGAAACCAACTGGTGTGCTATTACTAGCTAATTGGCAATTTCTAGCTTGCAATTATACATTTTTCTTTCTATTTTCTTATTTTCCACCCACACACACACACACACACATCATTAGGAATTGAAAAATAATAAATAAATAAAAAATCCCTGAAATCCTGATCAGAGAACACAGGAAAAGAAAGCACTGTCAACCCAAGGCACTTAAAAGAGCAATAGCAATAATGTACTGTCACACAAGTGTAGTGTACTGAAGCATGACAGATGTGTATTTGAGAGAAAGGTGAACAAATGTCAGTGTGAGGCTCCAGATGTTAGTCAGGGGGTCTGGTTCTTTGTGGAAGATCCCTCATTTTCACCACAAACTCTGAAGCTCTTCTGCTTTTGCTTGGGCGTTTAGTTCGTGTGTTTGGTAGAGACGGGTAAGATGGTTTGTCTGTGTCCTGATCTGCGCTCATGTCGACGGCTTCTCTTTGCGTCAGTGACTCAAGTGAAATGTGGCATACGACTGCAGGTTCTGCAACACAAGGGAACGCACGTCACATTTCTGCCGGAAAACAGTGTGAAAAGCCCCTCCTTCATTGTTACGGCTGCACTTCCATGAATAGGGTACGAAACAGGGCTTGCCAGATGCACACCACAGGTGATCATCAACCCCCAGGAGAGCAGACTTAAAGGGATAGTTGTGTGTTTTATCTTACCTCAAGGGCATCCATTAGGTGTCTTTGTTTCCACAGCATTTTCAATTTTGATATTTTTAGGTCAAACCGTTCTTGTCTGTCAGTCATATAATGGAGGTCTATGGTCACTACCTCAAAGAGCATGCGCAGAGAAGTCCAAATTAAACATGATTTAATGACTCGTAAATGTAAGTACACATTGATGGCCTAAGACACGAAACGAGCGGTTAGTGTGAGAAAACGAACAGTATTTATATCGTTTTTACCTCTTGTAATCACAGTCACGTCCAAGTGATCTGAGGCCGCGCTGGAAAGCCCCGGAAGTGATCTCTCGCACGGTTTCGAAACAGATTCACCATTGTCTGTTGATATATCGAAATCGTCTTTCATTGCGGTTTTCTGTATATCTAAATATGTTTAGATCTTCACAGTGAAGGATAACACTTCTGAAATCTCTGTGTAAACAATGAGTGATGTGCACACACGAGCGATCACTTCCGGCGTTTACACAGACTGAAGCGCCCGCGCCCTCAGATCACTTGGACGTGACTGTGATTACAAGAGGTAAAAACTATATCAATACCGCTCGTTTCGTGTCTTAGGCCATCAATGTATACTTGCGTTTAATTTGGACTTCTCTGTGCATGCTCTTTGAGGTGGTGACCATAGACCTCCATTACATGACTGACAGACAAGAACGGTTTGACCTAAAAATTTCAAAATTGAAAATACTGCGGAAACAAAGACACCTACATCTTGGATGCCCTTAAGGTAAGATAAAACATGCCAAAAATTAATTTCAAAGTGAACTTTAATAATATAGCTACTATTTATTTTAGTAGAAGTGTTGTGACCCCGTTACCAAAATTTAGGTCAGATTTATAATAACATTTATAAAATCATAAATGAACCACAATGACAACTGTTGGTTTGAAGTAATTGAAAAAACATATATTTTCCATAAATTAAAGAGAGATTATTTGTTAAAATTATGATTTTGGTAACAGGGTTGAATGCTTGAGCTTATTAAATGCTGCCAACAATACAATTTCTTGTAAAAAAAATAAATGGAGAAAATCAACTGATTTACTTGTTTTCCTGCCATGCTTTAGAACGGTTCCAAATGATGTCACTTCCTGGGGGGTCACACATTTTTGGAATATTCCATTTTGTTTAATGCGGGAAATAATTTGGTACAAGCGTTACATGCAAGATATTGGACACAGCTAAACATCAAGCTTTTGGTCATTAAAAGTAGTTTAGTTTAATACTCTGAATGTAATGTGAATTCGACTGGCTGTTTACATGACTATAAACGTGAAACTTGTTAAACAATGGTGTTTTGGGGGCCTGCAAACGCAAACTTTATATAAAAACGTTAATTAAAAGTTTTCGTCTCAAAATTGTTATTGTACAATGCGTGTTCAGTCTCATTCATAGTGTTTCTTTACAAAGTGACGTCGCCACCTACTGGCCTGGTATGATTGAATAATAGAGCGTTTTTAGGTGGAAAACGCGAAAGAAAAACTTTTCTGTTTTTAGTACATGGTCGTTGAGTAAACATATTCTGAAGGTGTGGTACCATTAGAGAAATAATGTGGGAAAAAACGTCACTTTCCAACCAAACAGCTTTTCGGTGGTCAAAGCAGTGAATCTGCATTGGAAAATCACCGTCACGCCTAATTCCTGCACGGTTTCCTATTGAAACGAGTGATTTAGACCGTGAATATATGTTGAACAACAGTAAATGTGATCGCGCAACTCGATCTCATAGGAATTCGTACGAATTTTACAAGGTGGCTAATTCATAACAATTCGTATGACGATTTTTTTGCTAAATCGTACATATTTTACGAATGGGTCAATTCGTATGAATTCGTACAAATTACCTACCCCTGACCCCGCCCCTAAACCTACTCATCACGACAAATCGTACAAATTCGTACAAGTGAGGTCGTATGAATTAGTGCGAATTAGACACTTTCGTACAAATTCGTTGGATCGCGCCCCAGTTGTGTACGAACATTTGAATCTAATGCCTCTTACACAAGTGATGGGCCTTCAAACTAAACCCTATTCATGGACGGTGCCCGCTCATTTATACTAAAAATAGGTTCAAAAGAAGTCGTCTAGTTTTTAGTGTCGACCTGTTATGCCCTCTTATTCCTCTTTCTGTGGGCGTATTACAACTACTTTTCCATTTCATGATAATCCCATGATGCACAGTTCAATCAAAATGCAATCATAATCACTATAAAGTGTTAATGTGAGCTGCTGTGAGAGAAAGACACTGCGCTCGGGCTGAGTTTGAGAGGTCACTGACTGCAACAATAACCATATTTACCGCTTACGTGGCCTTTGCTACTTTCGTGCGTTTCATCCTTTTCCTGCGCATGAGCGTGACCTGAGGCCTCTTCAAGCCGGCGATGAGCAGCAGCAGTCTGGGCCGGGACTTGGTGAGCCAGCTTCTCAGTAGCGTCCCCTTGGGAAACCTGCGAAACGTCACAAACGGTGAGTCCAACATGTCCGACTCGAGCTGGAGCTAAAACTACTGGAGCGCCTCACTGGCCGATGTCTAGGATCTGCTTGGTTATACTTGTACTACTCTGATTTTCATTGAAAAGCTGTTTTGAAGCAATTTGTCTTGTATAAATAAACTTGACTTCAATGCAATGGCTATTGAGTTTTAATATTGTGAAACACATCTGATTTTGAGAACATTCAAACCGCATCTGCAGCACTATCGCCTCTGTCAAAAGTGTTTTTTTTTTTTTTTTTTTTTATGGACTCAAACACTGCATTCAAAAATGCATTGACTTGCATTGAACACTTCAAGAAAAGAAAAAAGTCCATTGGAAAAACTGTAATTTTCCTCCTGGACATTATCCGTTAAGTTTACAGTCATTCCCTTCGACCATTAAAAGCAGCGCAATTCAAAATATGGATAAAACAGTTTATTGGGCCCTATTTATTATGGACTTGTCTACTAATGTGGAGATCAAAAGCAAATTATCTTGAGTTTGCATATGCTATATGAAGCTAAACCATATTTAGAAAGAAAAAAATGATTAAATAAGAAGTATTAGTTAATGTTAACCTATGCTGTTCACTACTGAACCTTATTGTAAAGTGTTACCATATATGCATTTAGTTAACATTTAGGTTCATGGTTGACTCGTCTCTTCCAGTCGCACTAGCGGCTCTAAATCACGTCTCATGTGGCATGTTTAGTCTAAGACGAGGCCTGAGACGCTCGGCTTGCTCCTGTTTAATAACCGCGGCGTGTTGCGTCTGCTTTAGACAGCAATCCCACGACACTAAACACTCAGAGAGAATAATCCAGCATACTGAACGCAAGGAAGCATTATACACCGAACACACTCAAGTGTTTCAAGTTTTCCCTTATCACAACAAATTCTGCAATGTTAAAAACTGTAAAAAAAAATAATAATTCATGATTTGTAATCACAACATTTTTTTCTTTTGTCAAATCAACTTAAATAATTCATGTAGTTCAGATAACATAGTATTTTGAGTTTCTGATGATTAAATCAACCTCCTTCATTGCATTAACTCAATTTTTCCAGTTCAATGAACTTAAAATTTTAAGGCAACCAGGTTTCTTCATTTTTTTAAGTTAAACCAACAATATTTTTTACAGTGTAAATAAGGTTGGTAACACTTTACAGTAAGGTCCCATTTTTAACATTAGTCAATTGTTTAATGGATTAACTAACAACGAGCACTAAATTAGTTACAGTATTTGTTACATCTTTGTTGATAAAATTACAGCTATGAACCGATGTTAACAAACAGAACCTTGCTGTGCAGTGTTACAGAAAAGACTAAAGTTACGCTTTAAAAAACAAGAGTTAAGGTTTAGTTGATACGTTTCAGTTCGCTAGCTGGTAGATTCTATAAATACACAATTCTGTGGCCAAAAAAAAAGTCTATTTTTCCATTTTCAGTAGGGTTGGGTATCGTTTGAATTTGAACGATTCTGATTCCGATTCCGATTCCTTGTTTCGATTCCGGTTCCTAACGATTCTCGATTCCGATTCTTTTAAGAGGCAGGGTCAAAAAAGTTTAGCTAACCTTGCTAACCAATGGCCTTTCTGAAGGAAATACTCCTTCTGTAAAAATACCAAAAATCCTTTTGTCACAAATTTTGCATTTTGGCGAGATTTCGTTATTTTTAGAAAAGTGAAGCCACACTTTGGATCGCCGACGTAAGGTACTCATGTTCGACTCGCGTGGTTATGCCAACACTTCCGGTAGACGCTTCTTCGTTGGTGTTGTTCCGCTCGGCGGACTGTGAATATCGAAACTAGGAATCGAAATTTTAACTTTTGAACGATTCCGGGAAAAACGAAAAGTTAGTCTCGGTTCCAATCGATACTCGATTCTCGATACCCAACCCTAATTGTCAGCAATTCAGAAGTTGTTGTGTATATGAGAGAATATTTTTTTTTAGTATAGTAACCAAAGAAATCACCACAAAATCTGATTATTGTATGTTTCACCGGTGACCACACTGTAAAAAAAATATTTTCATGATTTGTAATCACATTTTATCTTTTGTCAAATCAACTTAAATACTTTATGTACTTCAGATAACATAATATTTTGAGTTGCTAATTATTAAATCAATCTCCTTCATTGTATTAACTCAATTTTTCCATTTCAATGAACTTAAAATTTGAAGGCAACCAGGTTACTTAATTTTTTAAGTTAAACCAACAATATTTTTTTCAGTGCATTTGTACGGCCAAGAGAGCATCAACTATACCTCCTCTCCTCTCTGAAAGGAGTTATAATATAGAATTAAAAGTCACCTGACATTTATAGCTCAGGTGATTGGCTCTAAGAACATTCCCATGAAGCAAACATGTCAGCCTCCAGGATAGCTTGAGATCTCCATGGATAGGTGGCATATTAAAACTTTGGAAATAGACTACAGACTTGACTTGGTAACGTATACCCAGCCAGATCTACATCCAATCAGAATATCAAACCCCAATCCCTTACAATATTCTATACATTCCCACCATTGAGGTGTTAGTGTTATTAAATATTTCGCCTCCACCGATATCATTGAGGAAAACAAAGCAGCCATTTCTAATTGAGCCAAATCCCTCTCGTTTTCTGAACCTCCAGTAAGACTAAACCGATCCGTCCGTGTCTTTGTGAGTAAAAAGCTTGTTGGAAGAGTAGCGTTCCCCCCGAACAGCAGAACAGTACCTCAACCAGTAACACTCCTCACCGAAGCTCCATCGCTACAGATCCCGCTCGCTTTCAGATGAAGGGGACCAGCTTTTATACACACGTCTCGCACGTCTGACTGCTGAGCTCAATGGAAAATATAAAACTTCAATTGTTCGGCCTTCTGCTGGTCGAGCACGAGCCAACAGGCCAGAGAGAGATCTAGCAACGTGTAGATGCGCTCCGGCCCCGCTGAAGCCATTGTGTTCCCCCACAGGGGCTCGTGTTAAATGTGGCGAGAGCAACATTGTTTGCTTTGCGGCCTTGTTTTCCTCTTCCCCCCTCATCCAATTCTCTCTCTCAGGAGCTCGACTGATGCTACGGCGATGCTTCTCCTTCAGGAAACCCAGATGACAGCGTAGTCATCCATTTTGTTTTTCCATTTTGCCAACCGAATTAGCTGATTCATCTGCTGTCACACACACAGCTTTCCGAGTCTGATTCGTCCTTGTACCAGTCCGTTTACCTTTTACTAGATTTCTTCTGCAAGTCTTTTCACATTGTAGTCACACAAACATCCACTGTTGAGACTTCGCATCCAAATAGCTGGACTTTTAGCTTGAGTTTCAATGGTTAAGATGTTTCTAGTACGCAAATTCGGGCCTTCATTTGTCTGGCCACTACAAAGAAGCTAAGCTTATCTATACTAAATATCTAAGAGATGGGTGTAAAATCAATTTTCGCTTACACTTTATTTTAAGGTGCCGTAGTACTGAGAGTAACGAGTAACGATTTGGGTTTGGTTTACGGTTAGTTACTTGAAATTATGGCTAATTTACATTACTTTATTGAGAGTAACGATTTGGGTTTGGTTTACGGTTAGTTACTTGTAATTATGGCCAATTTACATTACTTTATTGAGAGTAACTATAGAGTAACGATTTGGGTTTGGTTTACGGTTAGTTACTTGAAATTATGGCTAATTTACATTACTTTATTGAGAGTAACTATAGAATAACGATTTGGGTTTGGTTTACGGTTAGTTACTTGAAATTATGGCTAATTTACATTACTTTATTGAGAGTAACTATAGAGTAACGATTTGGGTTTGGTTTACGGTTAGTTACTTGAAATTATGGCTAATTTACATTACTTTATTGAGAGTAACTATAGAGTAACAGTTTGGGTTTGGTTTACGGTTAGTTACTTGTAATGATGGCTAATTTACATTACTTTATTGAGAGTAACTATAGAGTAACGATTTGGGTTTGGTTTATGGTTAGTTACTTGAAATTATAGCTAATTTACATTACTTTATTGAGAGTAACTATAGAGTAACAGTTTAGGTTTGGTTTACGGTTAGTTACTTGAAATTATGGCTAATTTACATTACTTTATCGAGAGTAACTATAGAGTAACAGTTTGGGTTTGGTTTACGGTTAGTTACTTGTAATTCTGGCTAATTTACATTACTTTATTTAGAGTAACTATAGAGTAATGATTTGGGTTTGGTTTACGGTCAGTTACTTGAAATTATGGCTAATTTACATTACTTTATCGAGAGTAACTATAGAGTAACGGTTGGGTTTGGTTTACGGTTAGTTACTTGTAATGATGGCTAATTTACATTACTTTATTGAGAGTAACTATAGAGTAACGATTTGGGTTTGGTTTACGGTTAGTTACTTGAAATTATAGCTAATTTACATTACTTTATTGAGAGTAACTATAGAGTAACAGTTTGGGTTTGGTTTACGGTTAGTTACTTGTAATTCTGGCCAATTTACATTACTTTATTTAGAGTAACTATAGAGTAATGATTTGGGTTTGGTTTACGGTCAGTTACTTGAAATTATGGCTAATTTACATTACTTTATTGAGAGTAACTATAGAGTAACGGTTGGGTTTGGTTTATGGTTAGTTACTTGAAATTATGGCTAATTTACATTACTTTATCGAGAGTAACTATAGAGTAACGGTTGGGTTTGGTTTTCGGTTAGTTACTTGAAATTATGGCTAATTTACATTACTTTATTGAGAGTAACTATAGAGTAACAGTTTGGGTTTGGTTTACGGTTAGTTACTTGAAATTATGGCTAATTTACATTACTTTATTGAGAGTAACTATAGAGTAACGATTTGGGTTTGGTTTACGGTTAGTTACTTGTAATTCTGGCTAATTTACATTACTTTATTGAGGGTAACTATAGAATAACGATTTGGGTTTGGTTTATGGTTAGTTACTTGTAATTATGGCCAGTTTACATTACTTTAATAAGTACAACTACGTCACCTTGAAATAAAGTGTTACCCAATTTTCACTCAGAAATTGCTAGTAAATTTGACAAAGAATTACAAAGAACCAGCAAGAACATTGAACAGTATTTTCTTGTAAAAAGTGTACAATTAAATGTAGCAGAATATAGTCTATACTAGGCCAAAACACTTATGATGAATATGAGAGACCTACATCCGCCTGAGACTATAGAACAAAATAATCCCGAACAGTATTTCAAACAACTGAAAAACAACACACAAATACAGTATAATCTTAAACGTACCGCAATGAATCAAACTCAAAAAGTCGATCCTTTTGATCGGCATCTTAACTTAAAAATGCAGGTAAATGTCCTATGAAAAGCAGAAAGTGTTTCTTACCAATTGACTCCACACATTTGTTAGGCTATGCCCCCCGCGCCCTGCTAAGCCACATATATGATGCTAATGGACTTATTAGTGTCACGCTAGAAAGTTCAACCAGGATGGGAAAAACAAATCTGCGGGACAATAGGAGGTGCCCTGACTCCATGGGGCCGAGGGGACGGGGGGGCCAACAGGAGGGTCCACTCAGCACTTCTGTCAGCCAGCAGCCAATCACAGCGCTCGCTCACACGGTTTCTATGACAGCCAGCCCCTCGCCTGTGTAAAACAGTGTAGAGGTCAGCCAAACTACCATCCTCTGTTCCACATGTGGAAAATAAACTCCTGCTCTACATATACAGAACACATGGAGCTTTGGCCCACAATTAATCAAAAAATAACGCTTAAAGGGATCAAAAGTGACGGTAAAACCATTTATAATGTTACAAAAGATGTTTTTTCATCAAAGAATTCTGATGTGCTTAGTTAAAACAGCACAGCTTAATTTGTTGATGTGTGTTTTGAGATTAGATCTGCAGTCTAGCGTTGTTCTTGCAGTGTCTCTTCCGCTCTGTGGGGGGCGCTGTGGTGCTGGTCGAGATCAAGAGTGGATGTTACCGCAGAGAGAGAGAGAGAGAGAGGGCTGGGGAAGCCTGGCACACTGCATTGCAGATCAGTAAATGAGGAGGAGACTGCAGGAGTCTGCAGGATAGGCGTGATAAACACTACGGGATTCCCTCGTCTCTGAAACACACACAACCCTCACTGGATGATCACGACATGTTACAGATAGGAGTCTTTCACTTCTATACATGAGCTATAGCATAAGGGACACAAGTAAATGATCTTATGATGAAGAAGTTGCTGTTATTTATGTTGTACTGTCTGCATGAGCAACATGTATTTGTTCGTAATGAATGAACATGAGCATTACCATGAGCAATGGGAAGATTCTTCTATATACACAAATGTACAGAAGAGAATTAGTGTATCTTTGTGCTGTTTTAAACGTTTTAAATCTTAATTTAAGATTGTACATTTTGATTACGATCTGCTAATGTAGTTTAGCACTCAGTAGTTTAACATTATTTGTATGATGCGTTCACGTTCATGTTAGCAGTTGTAAATAGTGGTTTACTATATATATATATATATATATATATGTGCATAAAGCTCTCGCATCTCTTTATAAGATTAAAGTTAAATCAACACATGGATTACTTTAATTATGTATTTACCGCCTTTCTTGGGCTTGAAGGTGGTGGTTGCGTGTCAATGGAGGGACAGAAAGCTCTCAGATTCAATTAAAAATATCTTCATTTGTGTTCCTCAGGATGAGCGAGACTCATACAGCTTTGGAACGACTTGAGAGTGAGTATTTAAAGACAGAATTTTAATTTTTGGGTGAACTATCCCTTTAAAGTACTGTAGACCAATGTGACGTGTTGTAGTTACACTATATTGCCAAAAGTTTTGGGACGACTGCTTTACATCCGCATGAATTTTAATGACATTCCATTCTTAATCCGTAGGGTTTAATACGGAGTTGGCCCACCCGTTGCAGAAGTTAAACCAACATGGATTAGTTTAATTATGTATTTACTGCCTTTCTTGGGCTTGAAGGTGGTGGTTGAGTAGACTGTCAATGGAGGGACAGAAAGCTCTCAGATTCAATTAAAAATATCTTCATTTGTGTTCCTGAAGATGAGCGAGATTCACTTGAGAGTGAGTATTTAAAGACAGAATTTTTATTTTTGGGTGAACTATCTCTTTAAAGTACTGTAGACCAATGTGACGTAGGATTTAATATGGAGTTGGCCCACCCGTTGCAGCTATAAAGGTTTAGCCTTTCTACAAGGTTTAGGAGCGTGTTTATTGGAATATCTCATGAAATCCTTTCACTGGAAATAAGGGGCCAACCCCTGAAAAACAACCCCACACCATAATCCCCCCTCCACCAAACCTACACCACTGCATCCCACGCTATGCATTGCACTTGGAAACCCATTCCATGAAGCTCTACAAACTGTTTTTGAGCTAATCTGAAGGCTAATCTGGAGGTCTGTAGCTGTTGAGTCTTCAGAAAGTTGTTGACTTCTGTTGTTTATACCACTAACTGTAGACCCTGGAATATTTAGTAGTAAGGACTTATATCACAGTTAGCAACCTATCACGGTACCACAGTTGAATTCACTGAGCTCTTGAGAGCAACACATTCTTTCACAAATGTTTGTAGAGGCGTCTGCATGCATACAACTGTGGCCATTGGAAGTGATTGGAACACCTGAACTCAATGATTTGGAAGGGTATCCCAATATTTTTTGGCAATATAGCGTAGGCTATGTTTACATGGAAACGATTCTGAAGAGAAAACGCAAAAAACGCACTTTGCGTTTACAGACGAGCGTTTTGTGTGGGAAATCCGCGTGCAAACGGTCACGCAAAAGTGTGTGAAATTCAATGTAGTATGCACTTCAGGCGGCTAGGAGTGCATACCAGAGCCCGCGTGCCTGCGAACAACCTTCACAGTCAAGCAGACTTTTGCATTTTTACCGTTTACACGGGAACGCGGCGGTGGAGCGTTTTTAAGATTTCCACTCTGGAGGGTGGTTTCACTTTTTTGCGTTTTTAGCCTCAAAAACGCCATCGCCGTGTAAACGAAAGGCACATCCGATAAAATATTTTTACGTTTTCACCCGCGAGCGTTCTCGTGTAAACAGGGCCTTGGATTGGAAATTGATAATGATATAACCTATAAGTGATTATACATGGTAATGCTTGTTCAGTTAAGCTCATCTACAAGATATATAATCATTTCATACAAATAATTTAAAATATATTTATGTTTTTAGGGGTGAATTCAGGTTGATTGAGACACCTTTTCCCAGTCATCTCAATAGCAAAAAGTGTATCCATCAACCTGAATTAATTTGGCGAGTAGCTGTGTACTTAGGCCCTGTTTACACGAGAACGCTCGCGGGTGAAAACGTAAAAATACTTTATCGGATGTCCCAGATAGCAAACTGACATTGAATCAACGTGGAAACGACGTCTCTCATGACATTGAAACAACGTTGATTTTGCTCATCGAATTAACGTTGAACCAACGTCAGACGCGGCATTCTTCAAAGCTAAATGAAAATCGAAAATTGGTTTGCTTTCATAACGTTGAAACAACGCGTTGATTTCAAGTTGATTTTCCATTAGTTTTGAAAGAATGACGCGTCTGACGTTGGTTCAAAGTTAATTCGATGAGCAAAACAATGTCAGATCAACGTTGTTTCGATGTCAAATGTCCACGTTGATTCAATGTCAGTTTGCTATCTGGGGTGCCTTTCGTTTACACGGCGACAACGTTTTTGAGGCTTAAAAACGCAAAAAAGTGAAACCACCCTCCAGAGTGGAAATCTTAAAAGCGCTCCACCGGCACGTTCCCATGTAAATGGTAAAAAAGCAAAGTCTGCTTGACAGTGAAGGTTGTACGCAGGCGCGTGGACTTGGTGTTGTTGTAGTATGCACTCTTAGCCGCCTGAAGTGCATACTACATTGAATTTTACATTGAATACTACGTTGGATTTCCCACACAAAACGCTTGTCTAAACGCAGAATAAAAAGTGATGACGCAACGCCACTTTTGCGTTTTTCAGAATCGTCAGAATCGTTTCTGTGTAAACATAGCCTTAGTGAGATTACACTCTAAAAAATGCTGACCCAAATTTGGGTCAAATATGGACGAACCCAAATGTCAGGTTAAAAATGTACAGTTGAAAGTGAAAGTTGAAGTTGGGTTAAAATTTTTAATGACTTTTTTAACCCAACATTTGGGTTTGTCAATATTTTACCCAATTTTGAGTTAAAACAACCCATCATTGTTTAGAGTATATGTATGTGCATCGGGTCATCAACATTAAATAACCCAGCAGCTGATCGCCCTGATGGGGTTTATTATGTGACAATGACCAGCTGACTATAGATCTTGCATAGGAAATTTCCACCAGAAGTACAACTTCCCTCTAGAGAGAAGAAGTGAATATGAAAGTCTGATTTAGCTGCAGGAACTTATTAATATTTTGGTTTGACATTGAGAGTGGTAACTGGCCTCTTCCTCTTTTTGAATATTGGGTCATGATTGTGGTTAAAGTCGTTGTAGTAATGACTAAATTTCCCAACGTTACCACATCCCATTGTTCCCCATGTTAGCACGCATGTGTTTGGATGTTCTGTTATGTTACTAATTGTTATCCGCTTTGCATATACACGTCTTATAGGCTACAGTTTGGTATAATAATAACAAGTTGAAGATCCAACGACGTTGTAGGAAGAGCTGGCAAGAAAACCATGCCAATATTTGTATCATTGCACTCTACAAAAGTAAAAGCTATAAACATCTCAATTCACAATAGATAAAAATGAAGATGTGTTGGAAAAATACATAATTTCACGTCAAAATGGCTGATTATTAGTAGCCTATAGTATTCTAATAAACCTATAGAGACGTAAAGCGATCTAAGCGTCTCGTGATTTCTGCACATTTCGACTGGATTAAGAATAAACTCCACAGGAAAGATTGATAGTTCAGCTGAAGTCAGTTCAGTGTTGATCTGGATGAGCTTGTCCTCCTCAAACATTACTGTATTTGCCCATAAATATCATCTATGTTTTCATTTTTCAATATGCTAAGGCAAAGTGCAGTACAATCTGCAAGGACAATGATTTTGAGGATTGATGGCAGTAGTCCGTCTGATAATCTGTGGTTGGTGTACGTTGCTTTATAGTCTTTTGAAATCCATTGTAAACCACAGAAAGATAGGGCTTGGCAGTGGTAAATGGTCTTTGGGGTCCATCTTCCGGACTGGAGGGACCCATGTGGAGGTCAGTGAAGAGGTCGTCACTCATTAACACAGAGGGAGATGGAGGATAAACCTGGAACACAGAGCCTGGTGACCTTGGGATGGGATAAACATGGAAAAACAAACAGATGTGGGTCTGATGTATGCTGGAGTCATTTATTCCTGTGATCAAAGCTGGATTTCCAGCATCATTACTCCAGTCTTCAGTGTCCTCCAGAAATCACTCTAATATGATGATTTCATGATCAAGAAACATTTATTATTAATATCAATGG